CCATTTGCACCTGCCTTCGCTAACCACGATAGGGCAGTGCACTTTAGACTGTGCGAAGTGACCTTGTCCGTCACCTCTCCAGCTTTCGCCAAAATAGCGTTCAGCCATTTGGTTGCTTCACTGGAGGTCACAGATCTCATGCCCCACTTCCCGGTCTTCAAAGGTGCCGGCAACACTGGACCCTTGTAGGCTTCTGAGAAGTCAATCTCGGCTTCCTCAGCAACTGCTTTCCATGACAGCCCCCAAGGCGGCGACTCTAGCCCCCAGATGGGTGACACCAGGGGCAAAGGAAGCCCATGTTTCGCGACTTGGGCAGCCGTCTTGTGGTTGAAGGTCGCAAAGCTGATGAAACCACATGGAGTTGAATTGTCGATGGCAATGTCTAGCTCGAAAGAGTCCACTGACTTCAGGTCTGACCAGCGGCATCTTCCGAAGATAGCAAAAAGGAAGACCCCGGCAGCATACCTGTCAAACAAGTTCATGGAGGTGTCGTTCAGGCACGCCTCCAGATGGCACACTTCCTTCACTGTCAGAGGCCTCGCCTGCTTGCGCCCAGGACGGCTCATAGCTGCCTTGTCCAGTAATCCACGGGTGAAGGAATCAATGATAGGCTGTCCAAGAGCCCTGGTTGGCAAACCGAGAATGTGGATTCCAAAATTGACTGCCTCCGTGATGGATCTCAAGGCACTATACGTTGCCCCGTCCTGGTGCGACTCCCAGATGTATTCAGCTATGTCGCTGGGGGTGAACGGCAGAGGACTCTTCTGATAGAAGAACTTTTGGTGCCATCTGCAATACTTCCAGAGATTGTTGGTCCTCTTTAGGACTGTGTTGCAGCTGCGGGATCCACACAACTCTCGGATCTTCTTGAAATTCCCGGCCATGTCTGCTGGGTGCAAGTCAAGTCCCACTGGTTTTGCCTCTGGGCAGCAGGTGAATATTGTGTATAATTTTTCCAAAACTCTTGCCCATTTGGCAGCATCCAGTTCGTGATCGCTGAGGCCGTGGCTGAATGAGATGGCCCTGTCGTAAAGTCCATGGATGTATTGACTGCACTTCTGTCTTTTCCCAGATGGTTGTTCTGCCACACTTTCGTCCAAAACGCCATCCGACCTGTTCACAGGGATGGCTTGTGCCGGTATTGGTATCTCAGGAAGGGAGCACAGAGGTTCCTCACTGAAGATGGCCCTGAAAATGCCCTGCTCCCAAGGGAGTTCCAGGCCAGCCCCAACCTGCGCACTCAGGATGCTCTGATTGACGAGCTCGTCAAAGGTCTCCAGCTCTAGTCGAGTGGGGGCAGGTCCAAGTGGGCCATCGTCAAATGAAGCAGTGTTGACATCACCGGCCAAAGGGCTGGCAACCGTTACATGGCTCCCGAAAAGGTCAATTGATTCGACATCGGAAAAACCTCGCGGAGAGTCCCGCTTGGCCATTGGTCCATGCTTGGTGCCAAACAGCTGGGAAATAAATGATGGTATGTCTGTCGGCTTGAAGCATGAGTGACAGCTGTGGTCCTTAAAACTATTAGTCATGTGTTGCTTCAGCTAACGGTTTTCTCCAATTCAAAACACGTCTGCTCTAGGCTCGAGGTTTCAGGCGGCATGTTGGCGTGCAACCACGAGGAGCTGGTCCAGCAGAGTCAGCTTTCAATCTTCCAAACAACAAATGATGGTAGCCACTGTGATCTGGACGTCCCACAGGAAACAAAAAGTAGGATGAGTCTGCTGGTGTTCGAAACGGTCCATCATCAAATCGACCAGGTCGGCCATTGCCCTACAGTGGTTCCCAAAATTTGGTCCCGTTTGGCCCTTCAGAATGCCAGGGTCAGCGCAAAAAAACGCAAAGGGATGTCGGGACGAACCAAATCGGTGAGGAAATCTCTGGGCCCCCTGGTTCTATCGGACAAGTGGTAGCGCTTAGCGCACTCCACTTCCAACAAGAAGTCCACCAGCCGAGAAATCATTGTGGGCGTACCCATATGTACGATAACTTCCCTAATGAATGATTCGGATCTACTAATCAAGGAAAGATGGTCGACGTTTCTAGAGTCGATAATTTCGGCAAGGATGGAAGAAGGCGATGGCCCGTCATCTATTGATGGGTGCTCTCGGCATTCTGCATTTGGTTGCTCAGGCTGGGTGGCTGAAGAACTACCACGTTGCCCGTTCAGGCCGAGTCCCAAGAGCCTTGAGGGTTCGACATCAATTATTGAATACCCAAAGCTCTCTACTACAAGCAATCGGTCGAAAGGATTCGGAAACCAAATCGATATGAGGTCTTGACGGGTCGTCCATTCCTCTCCTGCGAGAAATCAAAAAGGGAACTTATGCAAACAAAGGATAAGTCTAATTTCTACCACGTGGTAGTAACACAGGAAAAAGGCCACTGGGCGCCTGGTCCTGCGCAGCCCAGACAATGGACCCTGTCAGTGGCCCTCCAAAAACAGTCAGGCCTGGGCGTGTCGTTCTACCCATCATGGCCGTGGAGAAAGACAGCCAAAGATAGCACTTACCAGAGAAAAATAAATTGGGTGCCACACGGCAATCAAAGTTTCGCGTCTGCACCTGCAGACCGATCGATGTCTTGATGTCAACTCTTTTGACTGAGTGTTGTTGGATTATTTCTCATAGTCAGTTCAACTCACACACGAGAGCTTAGTTCGGCGCCACACGGCAGCAATGAAGAGTCACAACCTGACGAAAATATGTCAAACATCTGACACTCCGATCTGACACAAAAACCACAAAAGGTCGTCGCCAAAATTGAGTGCCACACGGCAAACAAGATGGCCTGGGAAAGGCGGTATACTCAGTGCCAGAAAGCTCTGTCACATGACAAGAGAGAGCACATGTGAAGACACTCGTCATCAATGTGGATTCCAATGATCTGAGAGCTGGGCCACACGACCCAAGAAACTCCGACACCTGTCAAGGAGTGTGAAAAAGGCAAATTACCCGACTAAGGGGAAACAAATACTAAGGGCAACCATCAGAAATCTGAGGATAAGGCCCTGAGCTCACACGAGCGGCCGATACTGAACCGGCTTGGAAAAACGCTGCACATGCAGTTCATATGTGTGCAATGTGATGCCACATGTGTGATGTTGCCAATCTGAAGTGAAAAACAGCATGATTGCCACAACCCCAGAACCCTGGAATGCTGTGTTTTGTCGATGCTAGCAAGGCATTCGAGCATGACTTCGCATGCGTTGCCAAAATGTTGTTAAAGGCCATGACATAGACACCAGCAATGGCGTAGTTACGGAGCATCACCAGGCTGCAGGATCAAATCGAAAGGGGCAGCTAATTGCGGCTCTCGAGCAGCCAGAAATTCCATAACGAGCCCAAGGTAATGTCGCATCTGTCTGATCTCGTCGCGGAGGTCTCCGAGCTCGCGTTCAAGGTTGTCCCGATCTTGGGACAAGACCCCAATTTGGTAGACCAACTCCGGAAGGGGGACGAAGGAGATGGTGATGAAGGTCTGCTTGCGAAAATCCTCGGCCGTCTGCTCGGGGATGGTATCGATCGCATCATCACCGATGTAATTGAAGACCTGTTGGTAAAGGTTCCATTGGAAAAAGGCCAGGTGGTATCGCCGATCTTCACGTAAATCTTCATCAAATGGGATCCAGCGGCGCCCCATGTCCGCAATGCCAGGAGTTGGATGCTGGACCGGAGTGGCCATCAACAGGCAGAAGTCATTCAAACTGCAGTCTGTGTTCAACCCCAAAAAGGGGAGCACCTGGTTGATAGTCGGCTGATCGTCTTGCGATGAGAACCAGCACGGAATTCTCTTTGAAGTCTCCGGGATGTCATTGAGGAAGTCCACGTCTGGTGCGAACATGGTGTTGATGTTTGCTCACGGAGACAGAACCAACTCCAGGGCAAAGTGCAGAGATCAGCAACGAGGTGCCATGCGAGATCAGCAACGAACAAAATTTTGCGCACATGCGCCGCTCACTTGAGCATTGAAACTGATGTCAAATGAAAATGTGACATGTCCCAATGATGCCAACAACTCCAACTGTTGGTGTCACCGTTTCATGGAAACACACGTGTATATATATGTATATACATATCAAGTGTGTCAAAAAGGTTGTTCAAAGACGTATATGTACATGCCTGTGAATGCATGAATATACTCAAGGGTTTGTTTGAAATAAAACTGCATCAACTTCGTTGAGTTTCGTCCTATTCCATGGTAAAAGCACTTCTTTTGGTGAAAAACTCCATATTTCCTGATCATCTCCCAGCATGGCTCATAGGTAAACATTCCCAGTCTGCAACCTCATTTTAGGATGGTTGAGTCCTAATGTCTCTGTTTGAATGTGCCCCAGAATCTCCCATTTGTTGCTTACTTTTCCACATTGATCTCTGAACAAGTCACAGTCACATTTGGTTCGTGCCCTTTATCAATGAAGATTTCCCCACTTCACAGCTTCAACTCGTAGGCTTGATCTATCCCCGTCTTTGTACCCAATTGTTGCGGCTTTGATGCCTCAGTTTATAGCTCCAACCGACCGTGCTTAAAATCTTACATGCCCTGCACAACAAAATGGCAGTGTGTCAAAACCTTGTACCCCTGGTGAACATCAAAATAGCTGGTAAATGGATGTTCATCCCCCTAAAAATGGTATTAATAGGTATTGATCCATACCCAGATCATGTTCGACTTGGTGTCATCAAACCCCAGAAAACCCAGAAAACCACCAGTCTTGAAGGACCCATGACCTGAAGGCTTGCGGTCGCATGGCCAACTGACAAACGAAACTAGCATCAAACCATGGCTTACCCATGGTTTGATGCTAAAGAATCCATCTGTCTCGTCATGTTTTCAGGAATCAAGTGGTTATTTTTTACAACGAACAGTTGGTTTATACATGTGTATAAACTATGATTAAAAAAAAAAACAGTTTCTTTACTTTGTAACGATTTATAACGTATGATTTTTAGAGAAACAACCCTTCACCACTCCCGGAGTCGACATCCCAATCTCACCACCTTGGTCTGCGCCATGGAAACACCCGCTTCTTCCTTGGGATCTGCTCCCTGGTCGAAGCCCAACAAACGAATCCTGGTCGTTTCGTTTGCGCTCTTCTGAAAAATGCTTGGCGGAGAAAAATACATCAAAATACTCCGATATCAATGGTTAACCATAGATTATTCACGTGTTTATCGTGAAAAACCGGCGGCACATCACGAAATTCTAGATCTAGATGTGTTGTTTTTATTTCAAGGGAAGTTGAACTTCACCGGTAGAAATCCGTTTTTGTTCAATGGAAGTTGAACGAGCTACCCCAAAATTTCATGAGGGTTCGAATGGTTTGCGGTAATTACAAGTATTGATGGTGTGAAATACTCAAGTGTAGTTGGTACAGAAAGGCATTGCCTCTTTACTGCTTTATCAAGCATGGAATTTTGGAGGAAAAAAATAAAAAGGGGCTTCAAACGTGACAAGACTAGGTTGATCTCCAAATAGTTTGGATGCAAATATGTGTGATTTCCCGACTACCCCCTTGTAAGGGGAGCCCTGCGTAAACCATACACATATGTATGTATGTATGTTTGTATGTTTGTATGTTTGTATGTTTGTATGTTTGTATGTATGTATGTATGTATGTATGTATGTATGAATGTATGTATATCTATCTATCTATCTATCTATCTATCTATCTATCTATCTATCTATGTATCTATCTATCTATCTATCTATCTATGTATCTATGTATCTATGTATCTATGTATGTATGTATACAATACATACATACATACATACATACATACATACATACATACATACATTACATTACATTACATTACATTACATTACATTACATTACATTACATTACATTACATACATTACATACATTACATACATTACATACATTACATACATTACATACATTACATACATTACATACATTACATACATTACATACACTACATTACATACATTACATACATTACATACATTGCATACATTGCATACATTACATACATTACATACATTACATACATTACATACATTACATACATTACATACGTTACATACGTTACATACGTTACATACGTTACATACGTTACATACGTTACATACATTACATACATTACATACATTACATACATTACATACATTACATACATTACATACATTACATACATTACATACATTACATACATTACATACATTACATACATTACATACATTACATACATTAATACATACATACATACATACATACATACATACATACATACATACATACATACATACATACATACATACATACATACATTACATACATACATACATACATTACATACATTACATACATTACATACATTACATACATTACATACATTACATACATTACATACAATACATACATTACATACATTACATACATTACATTACATTACATTACATTACATTACATACATTACATTCATTACATTCATTACATGCATTACTTGCATTACATTCATTACATACATTACATCCATTACATACATACATACATTACATACATTACATACATTACATACATTACATGCATTACATACATTACATACATTACATACATTACATACATTACATACATTACATCCATTACATCCATTACATCCATTACATCCATTACATCCATTACATACATTACATACATTACATACATTACATACATTACATACATTACATACATTACATACATTACATACATTACATACATTCCATACATTACATACATTACATACATTACATACATTAAATACATTACATACATTACATACATTACATACATTACATACATTACATACATTACATACATTACATACATTACATACATTACATACATTACGTACATTACGTACATTACGTACATTACGTACATTACGTACATTACGTACATTACGTACATTACGTACATTACGTACATTACGTACATTACGTACATTACGTACATTACGTACATTACGTACATTACGTACATTACGTACATTACGTACATTACGTACATTACATACATTACATACATTACATACATTACATACATTACATACATTACATACATTACATACATTACATACATTACATACATTACGTACATTACGTACATTACGTACATTACGTACATTACGTACATTACGTACATTACGTACATTACGTACATTACGACATACATTACATACATTACATACATTACATACATTACATACATTACATACATTACATACATTACATACATTACATACATTACATACATTACATACATTACATACATTACATACATTACATACATACATTACATACATTACATACATCACATACATTACATACATTACATACATTACATACATTACATACATTACATACATTACATACATTACATACATTACATTACATTACATTACATTACATTACATTACATTACATTACATTACATTACATACATACATACATATGCGTGTGCACAATTATATACAAGTAACTAATAGTTGTCACTTGACAATTGTTTAGATGGGTACTCTCAGCAGGGAAAAAAAACGTTTCTCGTTGAATTTCCCTATGAATTTGGGGATCCAAATACCCGTCACTGGCTGGAATCCCCGTTGCTGGTAAGAATTCTCTCAATGATGCTGCTTCAGTCCAAAATTGCGCCCTTGAAGACTTCCAGTGTTTCCAGTTGAATCTCCATCGTTTTTTTCGTTGAATCCTTATTTCTCTTGCTTAAATCGCCCTTTGTTCCACAAAAATCCCATGAAAATCTCATCCAAAATTCAAATCCCAGTAAGTTCTACTTAAATCCCATGAAAATCCCATTAGATCCTATTAGAATCCCATTAAATCCCATAAAAAAAATCCCAGAAAGCCCACGTTTCAAAACCCGGATCTAGTGGCTCGGTGGACGTGCAAGGCGTCTCGGGAAGGAGCAGCTGGTACCGCAAGCGGCGATCCTGCGTGTGCTCTATCATATCTACAAATTTGTATTTAAAAAAAAAATTATATGTGCATATATTTCTATACATCTATCTAAAAACTATATATATATGTGATTTATTTCTATATATATATGTATATATATATGTATATATATATTACCAAATATAATCAATGTATTTCTATACATCTATATATATATATCTATATGTTTGATAATAAACGCATAAGAATGTATCTGTATGCTTAGCATTTGGCTTTGGAAGTGCCCCGTACAAGAAAAGTTTCTTGGCACTGCACTTTGGGACTAAATAGGTGGATGCATGTCTATGTATGCCTATGTGAAAACAGATATTGTATATATATATATGTGTGTGATCATATGTATGTATATACATATAATTGGATGTGTACATATGTTGAGATACATATTCATACTATTCGTCTCATTTTCTGACTTTCTAGCTGCAGAGTGATCTGTTTAACCGCGTCACGCTTAACCCCACCTTGAACCCTCCAAAACTGACCTTCACCCCCCCGAACCCCCCGAAGCCCACCCTGAAAACCCTAAAGGTCTGCACTCCCACTTGCAGCATGGAAAATCACACACGAATAACTGAACAATGGTATACCCATATATGTATGTAGATCACCAAATCATATGAATGACTGGATAAATGTCACGAAACCAGATTGTAACCAGAGTTAATGGCCCCCAATATCGCATTGATTCCACCTCAAATGGGCTCCAAAATGATTAGATCGAACGCGTTACACGGGGTTCTGAGGTGGGGTTACTTGGTCCGTAAGTGTGCTGAGCAAGCCGATTTCTGGGGTTATCACATATGGGATCCTGCGTTGTCCTGCCAGAGATGCTACCAAGATAACAATAGAATAATGGCTATGCAATCCAACATACGAATCCGCTGCGAATCTCTTCAGCAAAAACACAGATTTTGGCAACTACACTGGACATTGACCTGATAAGCATGGCCAGCAACACATGGGTCTTACTTGTGGTGGCTAATTCGACTATCAACATGAATGGGTTTCAATGAGGATGCATTGGACAGCAGTTATACTTAGTTATACTTGAATAGCTGCTGCATATGGTTCCCACATGTATTGTATATACATATATATATACATATATATATATACATATATATATATATATACATATATATATATATACATATATATATATGTATATATACATATATATGTATATATACATATATATATATACACAGGGGGTTCTGAAAATGCGGGATCCCCAAAACCATAGGTTTCAGGACTAAAATGCTCTAAATGACTTATATAAAATTTGGGGGTACCCTCATGACAAAACGGAAACCCCAATATATATACAGTACCCTCTGGTAAACTAACATAGCTATGGAAAATCACCATTGTTTATGGGAAAATCCACTATCACTATAAATGGGCATTTTCAATAGCTATGTTAAATTACCAGAGGGTACATATCAAATGATGGTTGCTGATGTCCCTAGAAATGTTGCTGGACATCCAACTGAACCAAATCAAGCGGACAAAACAGCGCCGTGTGTTTTGTTTTGGTTTTGTTCCTTCAATATAGCTGCAAGAAAAATGCTTCTCCAGTGAAAAATCGTCGATTCTAAGATTTTTTGGAAATCCATCAACTTCTGCCTAACATCAGTTTTTCTGGATCTTCCTGTCCTAGCAATTCCTTTTCGACATCTAAGATCTTAGACTTTTCTGAGTTTCTCCTCGGGATCAGAAGGGTAGAGCTCCAACAGTATGGGCACCAGCACATCCAAAAGCCATCTGGCAGGTGAACCACGACCCATCTTTCAGCATGTTTTTGGGTTTTTCTTTGTTGAACGGGATGTTTTTTGGGGAAGAAACACATAGGCAAAGCATCATTTTATGGGATATGTTATGATATAACTCATGTGTATATATATATAATTATGCATGTATGTATGTTTATGTGTATGTGTATGTGTATGTATGTGTGTATGTATATACATATATAACGTATATGTATATGTGTACATATGTATCCACATATACAGTAGTGGGAGTTTCTGGGAACCGCCAACTTTTTCCATGACTCATCATAGTCACATCTCTTCACTTTTTTCTTGCCAGACGTTCCAGTGATGGTTGATATGTTTATAGTGGTTAATAGTGACACAAACATGGATTCATAGTGATAAATATAGTGGTAAATAGTGGCCAAAATCGTGGCCACAAAAGATGTTTTCTCATTGATTGGCCTTTTTTCTTGGCAAAAACACCATGTTGAGAAGCCTCAGATGTTGAGAAAGATCAGCCGCAATGCTGAGACAAGCGATATGGTTAGATCATCGAAGCCAAAAAAGGCTAAACTCGTTGGGTCCAGGTTGAAAAAATAACTGTCATTGGGGTTGCAACCCACTGACAACTTATGAAAAAAGGGCCCACCTGGTGAACTTTCTACCATTCTGATTGCTTATATCCGATGATATTCCCATTCTTGCTTGGTTCACCCAGGTTTTGTAAAATCTCTCCATCCATCAGTATCCCCATCGATCAATTCCACGATTTCTGGGATGATCTTATTCAGATTTCCGTAACTTGAATTATCTTGAATTCCTCAATGTTTTTGGTCCTCACTGAGTATGCTTGTCCATGATTCAAGTTTTTCAAGTTTCAACCGATTTTATCATGGCAAAAATGCCTTCGTCAGTTGGGATCATGAAATCTCCTTGGAAATTCTGCACGGATCGTGGATCCCACGGATCCTCTACGTCGATGAGTTCACCCCCCAAAAAATGTTCGTGGGATACGTCGGGTGGATTTCCATTGAAATCACTGGGCTTATCAAACATCAACATCAACTTACTTTTTTGCTGGGATGATCCAAGTAATCAACTGGGACTAACTGCTTAATGTCAACCCCGGATTTTGCTAAAGCATGGTTTAGCAAAGGGGGGTACTCCTCCAATAGTCATTTCATCTGATACTTTTTTATGGTACCCTCCCAAGTGAACAATCTATCAATGGGAATTTCAGGAACCTAAATTGGAGGTACCTACCATATATAAGGCCTAATTTCAGAGAATATCCCCACAAAATATGGCCTTATATGCTACAGTGCCTCCATTTTTTAGGATCCTGAAGATCTCCCATTAAAAATCTAGGGCTCTACAAAAATCCAGGGTTGACATGTTTTTTTAACCGCTGGGATGTTTTTCGTCTAATCCACTGGGGTTTTCAGCTACGATTCGGATCAGTGGGACCCGCACCTCTCCGGCTCAGGGTGCTCAATGACCTCTGCATAGAGATCCAGGGGCCGCACATAGCGCTGACCCAAAAAGACGCAGTCCGACACCTGTGATCGGGATCAAATAAAGTGAGATCGGGAGAAAAAAAGGGGCCTAAACACAATTTATACAAACATATGGATTTATACTGTAGACATCTACATCTATATTATTTATGTATATATATATATATTGTTAGTTAGTTGGTTAATTGGTTAGTTACTTAGTTACTTAGTTAGTTAGTTAGTTGGTTAGTTAGCTGGATAGTTAGTTAGTTAGTTAGTTAGTTAGTTAGATAGTTAGTTAGTTTGTTTGTTTGTGTGTTTGTTATATATTTATAATATAATATATATGTATATATATATATTATTTATATATATATACATTATATATTTATATACATATTATATATACATTATATAAATACATGTTGTGTAAGTGTGTGTACGGGTGCGTGTGTCTGTGTGTTCTGGATTGGAAACGTTCAATTCCGGAGCCAGTGGAAGCCTCCCAACCCTTCGTAGCTCAACATGGCAATAGGTACCCGACCTGGAAAACATACAAACATGGTGGTTTAATAGTGGTTTAATGGTGGTTTAATGGGATTTCATGGGAATATACCCTCTGGTAAACATACAAAAAACTATGGAAAGATCCACCATTTGAACAATGGGTAAATCAACTATTTCGACTGTGCCATTTTCAAGTTCGCAAACTGTAAACGTTTACAAGCTTACCAGAGGGTAAATCGTCCAAAACGTTGATTTGATGGAACCGATGGAGAATGATTGACCGTAATGCGTTCCACAGCTATGTCATCTGTGGTTTTCAGGGACTCAAAGAGGTCTAATTTTCGGGAGAAAAAGCGTACCTTCTGGGGCTGGCAGATCCAACGGCTGTTTTTTTGCAGAGGCTTTGACCAGCGCGGTCCTACTTGGTGGTTCATCTTGTGTATTCTTCATGGGGGGAAAATAATCAGGTGTTCTCCACTCGGGCATGGATCAAAACTGTTTGCTCAAGAATCCTTGGTCTAATACCAGAACACATTTTATGAAAAAAAAAAACGCGATCAGTCAACACAGGTCCTCAACGTTGACCCAAACCAAAAGAATACCAGTGATTTTCGTGTGACATATTTACATATCCCCATCTCCCCCTGGTAGCAGTAGATCTTTCCATATGTTGTTCCAGGAAAAAATTATGCAAATTTAATTTCCGCAACTGCACCATACAAAAAAAAAAACGAGGTTCTTAGTCTAAATATGTCTAAAATGTGATTGAAATATCTTTAATTCCTCCCGATATCTCCCCAATTTTATCTTTCCAATCGTATCATATGAAATCCTCACGTGAAAAACGTGGCCCAGGTTTTTTCTCCGATGGTTTTTTTTACCACCCAGGCACCGGCTGAATCTTCTTGCGTCGCCGGGCACCTGACGCAGAGCTGTGAAAACTCACGGTGTTTCCAATCGAAAAATGTCAGAGATGGCATGAAATGATGACGATTTTGCATTTTCTTGTTCTTCCAGATGTTTCTTTTTCGCAGAAGGTAGGGTAGCACTCTAATAATTCTAAACCTTACAGCCTTTCATGTCTTTTTCACCTCAGATCACACTCATTGGACCAGATTGTTCGTACCCACCCAGATGATAAGGAAAATTGCGCTCGCAACCTACTAACCTTTCCTCCAGTAAAGAAACCTCGCAACGGAGTCGGACAGGCAACAACTTTCATGGGTCTTTTTCAGCCAGGTTTGCTTACTGAATGATAGCCTTCAAGATTTTTGCACAATCAAATTGCAACTGTGGTTTTACCAGAAGAAAAACTGAAAGTTGTCTGTATCTGCGTTTCTATTCAAAACCTATCGAAAAAAAATGGCGTTTGAGTCATACACTGTTTAAAAATTAGAAAATCACGTGAAAATCCATCCAAGACCGCCCAAAATCCACCTGGTCCATAGGCCCCAAAGGGTCCATGGGCCCCATCGTCTTCAGCGCCCGGGGCAGGGCCCCCGCAGGCGCTACAAGAGCTGCCCGCAGAACCCTGACATCGAGGGTCCGAGGGTTTGCTGGGCCCCTAACTGCTTGTATTTTGCCAACGAAATTGTGGATTTGACTCCACGAAACTTCCTTTTTTTTCGCCAAAAAACGGTTCACCAACATTGTTTTTCAACAAGAAGATGGGATTTAACCAACATGAGTGGTGGATAGCAACAAAAAATTGACGAGTTAACCAACAAAAGTGGTAGATTTGACAACAAAAGAAGACAAAGAAAAAATTGTTGCTGTAGTTGCAACCCATTGAATCGGGTAGATAGAAACAGCAGGGACTACAGTACACTCACTTTTCCCCGCTGAGAAGAGCTCAGCTGCGACGTTGAAATTCCGTCCCCGGATTCCCAGCGACGCTCTGGCTGCGGCACGGAACGACCCAAAAAACGAAGCAGAGGCAGAACCGCGTTCTCAACGTTTACTGTATATGATGATATATGATGATATCAATGGCCATTTCAGGAACCGATTCATTGGAGGTACCTACCATATATAAGGCTTATGTAAGGCTTATGTAAGGGAATATCCCCACAAAATATGGCCTTATATGGTATTATATATACGCTTGTAGTGTAGCTTCAGCAAAAATGGCTACGGGCCGCACCATACTGAATCATCCAGCACCCATTTTTTTCCGGATCATACAGGGTGTATGGCACTTCATTGTAGGAACCCATCTCTGGTTGGACCAATGTCAACCCATCATTTCAAGGCAAACTCTTCACCAAAAAAATCAGAGGTCTCACACAGGTCAACAGAACAATCTGGTTATAAAATGTATATAAATGTCATAACTCCCCCATCTTCGAGCCTCCCATAACTCCGTCTTACCCAGCGTTCTGATCCGGTTTACCAGATCCAATTTTGAAAAAGGTCATCCATGGATTTCTCAATGGATTGGATTAAGGGAACATTTTAACCGGAACACCCCATATTTCATGGGAAAATCGATGGTTTCCGGTTTCAATTTTCCCCAACAAACCAATCCATTGAATTTCACTTCCTCCACCATGGCAAGCCCCGCCTGTGCCCGGCAATTGATCATGGTGCATCGCTCACACGACCAGCAGCCGGCGCCACTTTGACTGCAGCGCTGGCAGGGGGCGCCCAGTTTCGGGGCTTCCTCCGGTCCAGATGCGCCTGGGCGCGGTTATTGCACGTCCACCAGCCCAATTGATATGGAAGTCATATAGAAATCCTATGGAAAGTTGACCATTGAGAATTGGGCCACTGAACCTCGGGAGCTAAACATGGTAGCCTCCAATCTACGGTGGGCAAATCCCCAGTGAAAGTAGATCATTGACTAATCAAAAGTTGCGTTTTCCGTTCCAATGTTTAATTGTGGGTTTTTTTCGTCAAACCTCAGATGAACAAATTTTGGTGACTAATTCAGGATCTGGGTAACAAAAAAATAGAAGTTGCTACTAGAAGGCAGCACGGTCTTGCTTGACCTTGGGATAACATGATAAAATGCGATTCTTGTGAATTCTAGACTACGGATGCATCATTTGCATGTATTTCTTTATGGTTTGGGTCAGGGTTTGGGGTTTGGTGGGGCAATAACATCCGCGGCATATACATGGCACATCCCGCTGCATGTTACCCCGTAAGAACATCGCGGTCACCGAAGGCCTTCTGACCTTATTCCATATTTCATGCGAAATGCTTAGCATGCTTAGCATGCAGCATTGCACATTGGATCTTGATGACACATCAGAAAATCTCTGTCAAAGATGTCTAGATTGGGAAAAACCGAATTTCAGAAGAGTTTTCGACGATGAAATTGAACAGCCTATATAGATCTATATAGTGTTTATGAATCCAGGGAATCAGCCGGGTTGACAAAAAAAAACAGCGGCAAGTTACACAATAGCCTCAGCGGCCAAATGGAGATTGCAAACGTGAATCGATGAATCGCCATGTCAGGCCATGGTTGGTGATGGTGGGCTTAGAAGTCTAGCGACTACGCGACTCGTCAGGCCATGTCAGGCCACTTCCCAACACGGAGAGATGGGTTAGGTAGAATGAAGCCCTGATCCATGAAGATTTTGAACCGTTTTCCTATCCCATTTGGGAATACTGGTTGACCAACAACTATCCCATGAGTCACTGATAAAACCCCCACTAAACCATGTAGGTTGAGAAGCTACCAAAACAAAACCCATCAACGATTGGTTTAAACTGGAAATGGTCGTTTGTCTTGTGGCAACTAACTGGCAAACTTGGTGGTACCCTCCAGTAAACTAACAAATACTACATAACAGTTTTCACTGGATTGGTTTGTTTGGGAAAATCGAAACCGGAAACCATAGATGTTCCCATTAAATATGGGGTGTTCCGGTTAAAATGTTCCCTTAAACCAAACCATTGGAGTTTGCGAACTGGGAAATCCCCGACCGTTCGGCGTTCGGTAAATCATCGAACTATTGCTGGACAGTTCGGCTTTCAGTTCGCAAACTCCAATGGTTTGCCAGAGGGTATATCCCCATGAAATATCCGATTGAATCACCATTTCTAGTAGTTACGTGCCATATATATATATACATACATATAATTATACATGATTTTATCTATATACCCATATATATATATCCATATAATTATGTATATATATATATATATATATATATCCATGTATATATATATATATCCATGTATATATATAAATATATCCATGTATATATATATATCCATGTATATATATCCCATTAAATCACCCTTTCTGTGACTTACATACCATATAAACCCCATTAAGTCACCATTTCTGTCGCTAAATACCCAAGGCCAACGGTTGTCTTTTCGGGTGCCTTGTTGGAAGGCCGACAATGGCGATGGCGTCCACTCGATCAAGTCAAACTGGCGGCCCACCAAGTGGACCCACAAACGGTGCCTCAGAGCTGTCGGAAAAGGCCTTCACCGTTGACACGTCAAATTGGTTTGGGCGTATCTTTGTATAATATGTACATATAACAGATAGATACCATAATATATTATATTATATTGTCGAAGGAAGTTTAGAAGTCAAACTTCCGACAATATGGAGAGATGAAAAGCAGAGCAGGGCAGAGGCAGAGAGAAGAGGAAGATTAGAAGAGAGAAGATCAGAAGAGAAAGAGTAAGAAGACAGAAGATACAGATGCGTGAAAAGGTAGGAAAGTCGCGATTCACTGTGTTTTTCCAATGATTTGTGGCTCCGGAGGGTCGAAAAGTAGGCTCGCTAAAGCGGCGGGTGCGGAGCCAGCTGGCCAGACGAGAGATGAAAAATTGCACGCCGTTGTGGCGCGAAGCACATTTCCAAGTCAAAATGTACAAAACACCAGGGGTTCGGACCACTTTTGGAGGTTGCGATGTCGAAAAAGTGCACGCCGTTGTGGCGCGAAGCACATTTGGAAGTCAAAAGTGTAAAAAAACTGAGGGTTTTGAGCCTTTTTTGACGTGCTGATGTCGAAAAAGTAGACACTGCTTAACTTAACTAACTTGACTAACTTAAGTAACTTCACTAACTTAACTACCCTAACTTCGACGACAACAGCAGCAACAACAACAACAACTACAACTACAACTACAACTACAACAACTACAACAACTACAACAACTACAACAACTACAACAACTACAACTACAACTACAACTAAAACTACAACTACCAGTAGTACCGCACAAGGCGGTGGCGGAAGTTTCAGAATAGGAAACCTATAGGAGACGTTGGTTGTTGTGAATCACGGATGGCAGAGCGAATCCACTGATTGACCGAAAGGTGGTTGGAGTTGTGTTTGCTGGAGTGGTTGCAATGGTTGCAGTGGTAACCTCACCCACAACTGCTGGATGTAGTGTGATGTACTGCAACTGTAGTTGTAGTTGTAGCGTAGTGGAGTTGTAGTTGTGGTGTAATGTAATTAGTGTAGTGTAGTTGCAGTCATATAGTTGTAGCTGTAGTTGTTTTGTAGTTGTAGTTGTAGTTGTTGTAGTTGTAGTTGTAGTAGTAGTTGTTGTTGTTGTTGTAGTTGTAGCTGTAGTTGTTGTGTAGTTGTAGTTGTTGTGTAGTGTAGTTGTAGTTGTAGTTGTTGTTGTTGTTGCTGCAGTTGTTGTTGTAGTTGTTGTTGTTGCTGTTGTTGTTGTTGCTATTGTTGTTGTAGCTGTTGTAGTTGTAGTTCTAGTTGTAGTTGTAGTTGTTGTGTAGTTGTTGTTGCAGTTGCAGTTGTAGTTGTAGTTGTAGTTGTAGTAGTTGTAGTAGTTGTTGTTGTTGTTGTTGCTGTTGTCGTCGAAGTTAGGGTAGTTAAGTTAGTGAAGTTACTCAAGTTAGGCAAGTTAGTTAAGTTAATCAGCGTCTACTTTTTCGACATCAGCACGTCAAAAAAGGCTCAAAACCCTCAGTTTTTTACACTTTTGACTTCCAAATGTGCTTTGCGCGACAACGGCGTGCACTTTTTCGACACTTTTTCGACATCTGAACCTCCAAAAGTGGTCCGAGACCGTCAGTTTTTAACACTTTTGACTTGGAAATGTGCTTCGCGCCACAACGGCGTGCACTTTTTCGACATCGCAACCTCCAAAAGTGGTCCGAACCCCTGGTGTTTTGTACATTTTGACTTGGAAATGTGCTTCGCGCCACAACGGCGTGCACTTTTTCGACATCACAACTTCCAAGAGTGGTCCGGAGCTGCGGTGTTTTGTGCATTTTGACTTGGAAATGTGCTTCGCGCCACAACGGCGTGCACTTTTTTGACATCTCAACTTCCAAAAGTGGTCCGGAGCTGGTGTGTTTTGTACATTTTGACTTGGAAATGTGCTTCGCGCCACAACGGCGTGCACTTTTTCGACATCTCAACTTCCAAAAGTGGTCCGAGAATGGTGTGTTTTGTACATTTTGACTTGGAAATGTGCTTCGCGCCACAACGGCGTGCAATTTTTCATCTCTCATCTGGCCAGCTGGCTCCGCACCCGCCGCTTTAGCGAGCCTACTTTTCGACCCTCCGGAGCCACAAATCATTGGAAAAACACAGTGTTTCGCGACTTTCCTACCTTTTCGCGCATCTGTATCTTCTGTCTTCTTACTCTTTCTCTTCTGATCTTCTCTCTTCTAATCTTCCTCTTCTCTCTGCCTCTGCCCTGCTCTGCTTTTCATCTCTCCATATTGTCGGAAGTTTGACTTCTAAGCTTCCTTCGACAACTACAACTACAACAATTACACAACAACTACAACTACAACTAGAACTACAACTACAACAGCTACAACAACAACAGCAACAACAACAACAACAACTACAACAACAACAACAACTGCAGCAACAACAGCAACTACAACAACAACTACAACTACACTACACAACAACTACAACTACACAACAACTACAGCTACAACTACAACAACACCAACTACTACTACAACTACAACTACAACAACTACAACTACAACTACAAAACAACTACAGCTACAACTATATGACTGAAACTACACTACACTAATTACATTACACCACAACTACAACTCCACTACGCCACAACTACAACTACAGTTGCAGTACATCACACTACATCCAGCAGTTGTGGGTGAGGTGACCACTGCAACCATTGCAACCACTCCAGCAAACACAACTCCAACCACCTTTCGGTCAATCAGTGGATTCGCTCTGCCATCCGTGATTCACAACAACCAACGTCTCCTATAGGTTTCCTATTCTGAAACTTCCGCCACCGCCTTGTGCGGTACTACTGGTATTATATTATATTATATTATATTATATTATATTATATCATATTATATATATATATGCATCTTGTTTATTCATACATATATACACATTCATAAGTAAAGCTTCATCATCGCCATAAAGGCGAATTGGTCTTCGATCAATGGGATCGATTGATGCTTGGAATCCCATCCTTCGGCTGCCAAGGAGCTGAGATCGCGAGACCACACCACATTGAAGGGATGCATCACCAAAGATCGTCTCAAAATCCTGCACCGATAAACCGGTAATGGAAAACTTAAGATATTACCCGGTAATGGAAAACTCAAGATATTCCAGGTAATTATCGTTTTCCTTTGGAATCAACCAAAAAAAACATATGGTGGTGATTCCAAAGCCGATAAACCATGACAAAGCCGATTTTCCATCTCTTTAGCGAATCGTACTGAGTTTCAGCATTAAAAACTGGACTTGAAAATCGTCTCTGTTGAAAAGACGTTACTTTCAGATTTACTATGTGTATCCGACTCAAAAATCATTTGAAGATTTGGTCAAGACATGGGGATGTCCATCTCCAGTGAACTGGAGAGTTTTAAACCTCAAAAAAAGAGACGGGAAAATCTGTACATCTCATCGACTCTTTGGTGTGGCTAAATCACCCCATTGGATTCACGGGAAAATCTACAAGCTGAACCATGCTGTGTTTACCCCCAAGTTCACCAGTTTCCCTGTTGTTCTTGTTTCGCCAGAGATGGCGAAAAAAGCATGTCGTCATCGAAAATAGCGATCTCACGGCATCATCATAGAGATGTCAGCATCAAAACTGGGCATTTCACCATCAAACAGATGTGTTTTTCATGCTGAAAAGCCCATGGACGGCACCTCAAAGCGCGTCATCGAATCAGGGAGGGGCTTCAGGCCGTCCTCTCCTGAGATGATGTCCAAGGTCGACCGGCTTTTAACAACAGAAAACATTCCAAGGGTTTCCCAATGGCTTCTGAGTGATAATCACTTTGCAAAATTTTGGGTGATGACATGTGATCACCCCAACGCTGCCCCGGCTGCCAAAATCTCATCGCAAGGGATAGTTAGGACATGCCCTTGGACTAGCCATTGAGGCTTCATGGGGTTTCCCATCGAAGTATTCCGACAGGATCCGACAGGCCGTGTTTTACTGGAGAGCAGTCATGGAATCAGAATTGAATACCTTACCCATCCTTACCAAACCTGACGGATGGAAACCATGGCCCATAGAGTTCCATGATTTTCCACTCAGAATTGTGATGTTCCATAGCAAACTCTTACCCAATTTCAGGTGGTCCAAGAGGCCCTCGAAGATGATTGGCTGATGTCGGGCTTGAGGTCGATTTTAGGGGATCTACGATATCTACGTTTTCTGTGGCTGGTTGCGAAATCCTGCACCAGGCAAGGTAACTATTGGTGACTATGAACCACTGTAAATAATGGGAGAAGCTGGTATCAACACTGTTGTTCCGGTCGAACTACAGGCATAGGCCCATAGGCAAGGCTCCCAACACACCAAGTACGTCTTGGGGGGATATTGGGAAAATAAATGAAAGTAAAGAGGCAAAATTGACCCCTTTCCGAAAAAAACGGCTATGATTTATGTATCATATTGTAAGCCCCAAAAAGATAGAAAAGTATATAATTCTTCACTATTTTAGTGATATTTTGTTACTGTTCTATCTTTTTGGGGAGTACAATTTGGGGGTTTCCATAAATAGGGGTACCCCCAAATGGATGGTTTATAAGGGAAAATCCGTCTATAAATGGATGATTTGCGGGTACCCCTTTTTTAGGAAAGCACCCTATAGAGATTGGAGCAACCAAGCTTCGCCACAACAGCTCTCCGGTCTGGACACTCAACTGCAGTTCACCCGCGGCAAAAGTGCCACCACCCTAGCGCAACAACGGTCCCTCCATGTTGAGTAAAAAGAACTCGTTGATGAATTGGAAAAGAAAAAAACTTGAACTCAAACCTTACAGGGTGGATAAGTTATATATTCCCCTAAATAGTGATGTAATTATAGCGATGATTCCAATCATCAATGGGTAGTGCAGGGCCTTTTGATTCGCAGCTCCAAAATCGGATGGTTTTTATCGCAAAATGTCTCTGAAAATTTGATCTCATCTCACAAGCCCCTATCCTCACAAGCCTCCGGGTTCTCTTCACCTTTCAACGAAAAAAAACGACAAAAGGCGCCTTGTGTGTCCATTGCACAGCCTGAAACTCGGACCGCAGGCCCGTTTGAGCCACGCGAGTCCTTGAACAGTCGGTGGCCCTTCCCAGTCAGTGATGTTTTCTTGGTTTATAAACCTTCTCTGGTTTGATATATATATATATATTATATGTATATATTTATATATGTATATGTATATATACATATGTATATATATATATACACATACATCTATCTATCTACCAGTATCTACCATGAACATATAAGTAATCAAACACTGTGTGCTCGAAAACCACCCATTTTTCGAGTTCCATGATGTTCCAAAGCTCCCAAGTTGCTCGGTCAAGTTTGGGGACTTCCCCAGCCACGGTTTGATGACCAAAATGCAACTCCGAATTGTTGCTTACTCTCTGGTATTTATGGATATATTTTATATAATACAATAAATATATATGTAAACTAACCCTCCAGTAAATAATACAGGGTCCCTCCAGTAAACTAACAGTTTGCTATTGAAAATGGTGATTTAGAGTGGATTTACCCATTAAAAATAGTGATTTTCCATAGCTATGTTAGTTTACCAGAGGCAGAGGGTACTCTCTGGTAAACATACAAAAACTATGGGAAAAAATCATTATTTTCTAGCTGGGTAAATCCACTCTAAATCACCATTTTCAATAGCAAACTGTTTGTTTACCAGAGGGTATATATGGGGATTTCCATGAAATAGTACCCCAATAGCTGGATGGTTTATAATCGAAAATCCTAATCTAAATATGGATGATTTGGAGGTACCCCTATGACTTAAGAAACCTCCATATCCCATGAAATATCTTCATTTAATTCTCCTTGATCTGCCAATGGTCTTGGAGGAGCATACCCGAATCTGCTTGGTGGTTAGTGATCGTTAGTTCCCAATTCGTGAGGTTTTCCCATTTACAACTGGCTCATAGCATCGTCTTCGCCCTGACATCTACATCCCCATTCATCCACCAATTTTATATCGACCCTCTGGTAAATTAACACTTCGACCCTAAAAATCACCCCTATTTTTACAACATTCATCTTCCAAGCCCTGCCAGGGTCATGTTAAATATGTTAATTTACAGGGTACCCTCCAGTAAACTAACATAGCTATGGAAAATGGACCATTTATGAATGATTTACCTATTAAAATGGTGATTTTCCAGTTCGCTATGTGAATTTACAGTGTATATCCCATGAATTTCCCCATGACTTCCTCATGAAATCCCCATGAAATCCAAGCATCAACGACTCGCTGGGCGCTGAGCAAAAGGCGCTAAGGATCTCTGGTCGACAGGTCCTTGGGGGAAACAACGGCATATCGTTGTCATATCGAGTCATATCTGGGGATATCATGGGATATCCGGATCTATATTTGGGAATATCTATATCTATATCGATGTGTGTATATATATATACATATATATATATATACATATGTATGTAATGTAATGTAATGGTATGTAATGGTATGTAATGGTATGCAATGGTATGTAATGTAATGTAATGTTATGGTATGGTATGTTATGGTATGTATGCATGTATGTATATGTCTATATATATATATACATATCTGGGGATATCTGGCGTTGACTTTTCTTTTGAAAATGTTAGTTGCGATATTGGATGCTTGGATTGAAGAACTGGGGATATCCAGCAGGATTTTTCTAGTGATTCGACCAGGGCGATACGGTGATACCAGCAGGATGTGGGGTACCAGCGCAGGGAGGTCACGGTCGCCCTAGGTGAGAAGACTTCGTATGTTTCCCAAGAACTCAACGGGGAGATCATCTGCCAACGGGTTTCCGCATCGAAACGCCACGCAACGTCGTGACGTCGTGACATCCAATGCTTCTATCCAGATGATCCCCATGACACTATGATGATTTTCCGGTGATCTCATATCTATGGCATTCTATGGCTTTTTAAGGTTTTTTAATGCTCTTTAGACATGTTGAAAAACCATGAAAAACCACCATGCTTTTTCCCCACATTGACGTGTGGGGTTTTTGTTTTTAGTTCTGTATCCGCTCCTCCTCCTCCTCCTCTTCCTCCTCACTCACTCACTCACTCACTCACTCACTCACTCACTCACTCCCTCACTCGCTCACTCCCTCGCTCCCTCACTCACTCACTCCCTCACTCACTCACCTCCTCACTCATCTCATGTCATCTCACTCACTCACTCCCTCACTCACTCACTCACCTCCTCACTCCTCAACGTGCACTGCCTCATCTCAACGTGCACTGCCAAGGGGTCGGATGTACGCCCTGGCGTCCCTCCGGTGTCCCTTGGTCTCCGCCGCTTTTGCGTGGCAGGCGTGGGACAACGTGCACTGCCAAGGGGTCGGATGTACGCCCTGGCGTCCCTCCGGTGTCCCTTGGTCTCCGCCGCTTTTGCGTGGCAGGCGTGGGACAATGTGCACTGCCAAGGGGTCGGATGTACGCCCTGGCGTCCCTCCGGTGTCCCTTGGTCTCCGCCGCTTTTGCGTGGCAGGCGTGGGACAACGTGCACTGCCAAGGGGTCGGATGTACGCCCTGGCGTCCCTCCGGTGTCCCTTGGTCTCCGCCGCTTTTGCGTGGCAGGCGTGGGACAATGTGCACTGCCAAGGGGTCGGATGTACGCCCTGGCGTCCCTCCGGTGTCCCTTGGTCTCCGCCGCTTTTGCGTGGCAGGCGTGGGACAACGTGCACTGCCAAGGGGTCGGATGTACGCCCTGGCGTCCCTCCGGTGTCCCTTGGTCTCCGCCGCTTTTGCGTGGCAGGCGTGGGACAACGTGCACTGCCAAGGGGTCGGATGTACGCCCTGGCGTCCCTCCGCTTGGTCCGCGTGGACAGGCGTGGGACAATGTGCACTGCCAAGGGGTCGGATGTACGCCCTGGCGTCCCTCCGGTGTCCCTTGGTCTCCGCCGCTTTTGCGTGGCAGGCGTGGGACAATGTGCACTGCCAAGGGGTCGGATGTACGCCCTGGCGTCCCTCCGGTGTCCCTTGGTCTCCGCCGCTTTTGCGTGGCAGGCGTGGGACAATGTGCACTGCCAAGGGGTCGGATGTACGCCCTGGCGTCCCTCCGGTGTCCCTTGGTCTCCGCCGCTTTTGCGTGGCAGGCGTGGGACAATGTGCACTGCCAAGGGGTCGGATGTACGCCCTGGCGTCCCTCCGGTGTCCCTTGGTCTCCGCCGCTTTTGCGTGGCAGGCGTGGGACAATGTGCACTGCCAAGGGGTCGGATGTACGCCCTGGCGTCCCTTGGGTCTCCGCCGCTTTTGCGTGGCAGGCGTGGGACAATGTGCACTGCCAAGGGGTCGGATGTATGGCAGGCGTGGGGTGCACTGCCAAGGGGTCGGATGTACGCCCTGGCGTCCCTTGGGTCTCCGCCTCTTTTGCGTGGCAGGCGTGGGACAAGGCGTGTGCACTGCCAAGGGGTCATGTACGCCCTGGCGTCCCTCCGGACGTGTGCACGCCCTGGCGTCCCTCCGGTGTCCCTTGGTCTCCGCCGCTTTTGCGTGGCAGGCGTGGGACAACGTGCGCTGCCAAGGGGTCGGATGTACGCCCTGGCGTCCCTCCGGTGTCCCTTGGTCTCCGCCGCTTTTGCGTGGCAGGCGTGGGACAACGTGCACTGCCAAGGGGCTCCGCCTCTTTTGCGTGGCAGGCGTGGGACTCACCTCCTCACTCATCTCATCTCATCTCACACTCACTCACTCACTCACTCACTCACTCACTCACTCGCTCACTCCCTCGCTCCCTCACTCACTCACTCCCTCACTCACTCACTCCCTCACTCACTCACTCCACTCACTCACTCACTCACTCACTCTCACTCACTCACTCACTCACTCACACACACACACAACTCACACAACTCACACAACTCACACAACTCACACAATCCATCTACTCACTCCCTCACTCACTCCCTCCCTCCCTCACTCACTCACTGTACTTGAACATACATACACATACACACACACAAACTCACCTACCTACATACATACCTACATACATACCACCATCGTCCCTCCATCACTCTCATACTTCCACTTCCCTTCTCGCTTTCTCTGCTCAGTCTAAGTCTAAAGAAGTTGGTAACATGTGGGGTTATCCGGTCCTTTAATTTGTTGGCGATGTTTATATCCCCCCATGGATGGAATCCAACCGCTGATTTTTTATCCCCATCCGTTGAGGTCTTTTTTTCACCTCGAAACCTCCCCCTCCGTTTCTGGCAACGCATCTGAATGGCGCGAAACATCCGTGACTCTGGAACACCTTGGGCGATGTGAGTTCTAAATCACCGATGGTGCCACTGCTGGGTCTTGTGCGACTGGAGACGGATGAGATTTGAGTATCCAAATGTATCTGGAAGTGGGGTCAATGTTTGGGGCAAGTGGTTTTCATAGTTCACCATAGTTTTTTTGGGGAAAAACCATGGTGAAACTGTTTTCTCCCATGGTTCTGCACTCCGTGGCGCAACGTCAGTTTTTCATCTTCCAAGGGACTTAAGGCGCACTTGGAAGTGTCCCTGGCGGCTGGGAGGTGATGTCCCAGCTGACCACTGATAGTGCCAGACTATGCGTGGTTCGTTTTTGACACGGAATGGCACTGCATATCTAGTCACAAAGGTGCTAGAATTCAGATACTTCAGATAGTTTGCCACCACTTTGAGCAAGATTGCATTGAATGAGAAACGCTGAAATCAAGGTGTTTATATAAGCGTTGGCAAATGCAGATCTGCCCAACAATGGAACCAGATTACTGTCCATCATTTCTGGACGTCGCAGAGGCTGTGAGTTCATGGAAATCTTGATTTCAAAGGATGTGTACTGAACTGTCGGTAGGTGAAATGTTCAATGGATTGGTTTGTTGGGGAAAATCTACAGGAAACCATGGTTTTTACCATCAAATATAGGGGTTTCCTGTAAATTTTCCCATCATCCAATTCTGTGAAATGTTGAAAGTAGGTGAATTAAGTCACAGTCAATCGGAAAAAATCCGATAGGTGGGTACACTGCGGCACGATGGTGATATGACCGATAGGATTGATATCACGATGTCTGCAGCACATCTCAATGGGATGTTGGAAGTGTTCCATATGGGACATGCAAAACCTTGACTATATTCTCGAAGTGCTACAAAACCAAACCATGTTCCTCAGCCACTGGATGCTAGTCACAACCCATACTGGTCCAAGAGTTGCTTGACACTGAGAGGACTGTCAATTGCAGGTTGCACGCGTGATGGAAATTCTGTAATTTTGCAGGGCTTCTGTGACTCTTACAGAAGTCATTTCCTACGCGAATGGAACATAATGGAACTATATCACACAGCATGGTGAAAGGATGTGAAAGGGATGTGAAAGGATGAAGCATCCAATCCATTTAAATCATTTAACCTTTGCTTCAAAACATCAACCATCATCAACCTATCGTACTTGGTGGATCATCCCACTTACAATTCGTAGGTGAAAAAAGTTAGTTCACCCCAGTTTCTTCATAATTTCATCCACCCGACCCCACTGAATTATCGGGAGAACATCCACCTAGGATGCGTGGGATCAACGAAGTAGGTGTCCTAAGAATTTCCCAAGAAATTCACCTCTTTAACGATGGTTGATAGATGTTGATAGCATAGGTTGATGATGGTATATTTCATATTTCCAAGTTTCTCAACTATTCTCAACCTATGCTATCAACCTCTTTAAAGTCGCAACACGGCGACAGCACCGGCCCAGGCCCAGCCGGCCCAGGCCCAGCCAGCCCAGGCGCCTGCCACGAAAGTTGGGCACGCGCACGGTTTGCTGACCCACTCGGAGGAAGACTGGACGATATCGGCCAGCCTCCCAGCACAAGCCCCATCCAAAACCCAAAAACCCTGGTTGATTCGTTAACGAATGAAGATTTAATGGTGATTTAATGGTGATTTGAATCACCATTAAATATCCCCAAAGACCTTCAAAAGCAAAGAATTCCCGGTGTCACCAGCTACGTGCTGCAGCAATTGAAGTTCGATGATTTTCCCAGCGAACTAAACCTCCAGTTCATTGTTTGGAATTTCCCAGCCACAGTTGACTACCCTCGGGTACAATAAACCAATCCCCCTAATATCAAACACCTCCGATTTTTGTTCAATAGCAAAAGTGTAAATCTCCTACACCAACATCGTTTCTAGGGGGGGTATATACCCTCTGGTAATTTAACATAGCTATTGAAAATGACCATTTATAGTGGATTTTCCCATGAAAAATGGTGATTTTCCATAGCTATGTTAGTTTACCAGAGGGTAATGTTAATAGGGGGAAGGGATTAAACTGCGGTGAAGGTGCAAAAATACCACATGTTTCGCTTGCCGACACCTGCTTCGTGAACTGATTCAACATCTCCTCACTGGTTCGCCGCGTGTCGATCCCCTGCGCAGAGTCGGGGAAACACACCGACTCATTGGATCAAAGTGGTTGCAGAGAAGCCATCTAAAAATAAAAATAAAATAAAAAAATATACGTACATACATTACAGTACAGTACATTACAGTACATTGCTATACATTACAGTACAGTACATTACAGTACATTGCTATACATTACAGTACAGTACAGTACATTGCATTACAGTAACATTACAGTACATTGCAGCACAGTACAGTACAGTAAAGTACATTACATTAAATTACAGTACATTACATTACAGTACATTACACTACATTACGGTACAGTACATTACAGTACATTACGGTACAGTACATTGCAGTACATTACACTACATTACGGTACAGTACATAACAGTACATTACGGTACAGTACATTGCAGTACAGTACATGCATATGTGTATATATATATATATATGTTCCCGCCCTCCAAATCATGCAAATTTACAGGGAGTTGTGTGAATTCCCCGCTTTCTACAGGGCTTCCCCAGGGCCTGTGCTTGCAGGAAACGCCTCAAGCGTTGGTTGGCCGACATCTCGGCATCCTCCTGGATGTGACAAGGGGGATACCCGACCTGGTCAACTGAGGTAACTATGGAAAGATCCAGCATTTTGAATGGGTAAATCCACTATTTCTATGGAAAGATCCAGCATTTTGAATGGGTAAATCCACTATTTCTATGGAAAGATCCAGCATTTTGAATGGGTAAATCCACTGTTTCTATGGAAAGATCCAGCATTTTGAATGGGTAAATCCACTTATGGCCATGTTCAATAGCTTTTTGTATGTTTACCAGAGGGTAACCCCCTTTTTTTGTCACTGTTCAAATGAAGATGTGTCTTGATTTGAAAATTAAATTCTCAACATATCCCAAATTCTTTGGCATATAGCCCAATGAGACCCACCAGCTTTGCGTTCCAGGTCGTGGAAGCTGCCAAAGGTATGCCAGGTACGACAAAGGCACCAGCTGGACAAGCCCTGGCGCTAAAGCAGGGAAGGCTTCGAGGACTCCAAAATCATCCCTTAAATTTAGTAGTATTAACCGTTAACCCCAACAACAAATATTAACCGTTAACCCCAACAACAAATCAGGTTCACCCAAAAAAAACTGGATGTTTAAGGTTTTGTCTATTCCAACTACTTTTAGGCCAAGCTCGGTCGACGTGCCTCCACATAAAGGCCGCTGCTAAAAGCTTCCAGAGCCAGATAACCTGGATACCAATCATGACCAACTGAGATCCTGCTGGTGGAGTATAGCAAGACTCAAATAGTAGAAATGGTGTAGAAATAGTGTTGAAGATGATGTTTACCACATCACTTTGCAGATTTGACAAAACTTCTCTACTTTTTTCAGGTTTGCTATGCCATTCTGTACGTCTACGACGGCAGCAGCGACCGCCGGACGTGGGAATTTCAAGTGATTTGTAGTGCGAAGGATACCGAAGAAATACCAGGTATTAGCCTCTGGTAAACTAACAGTTTGCTACGGAAGTCATGGCCCATTTAGATTTGTGTTTTTTTCCCATATTTTCCCTAGCAAACGGTTCGTTTCCGGGAGGATACTAGATCATAGAACCCATGTGGATGGGCGCATCTCACCTTATTGGTGGACGTCCTCTGTCATGGTACGATGCTAAGCCACAGACAGCGGAGTTGCTGTTGTTCATTCCCAACTTCTGTTCGATTCACTCGAGTCATGGCCATGAATCATGACATGCCATGACTGGGGATGGTTTCTCCAAAAGCGGTCAAGCCCCATAAAGGACCAAGAACCATGAACCGCACAGGCATTCGGCAAGTCCTTACAGTTGGAACACCAACCTCGGTGTTGCGCTTGCGACACCGCCACGGTTGAAATGATGGGAGATCTCAGAATCCAGAAAACTTTGGATCCAGAACTACTGCGAAGACTATGGAACTTCCAGAACTATGGAACTATAGTAAAAAGAATCCTTGTTGTTCACTGAACAAGTGGCAGTTTTGATCCAGACTGAAGACGATCATCACTTTGGTGCTGGTTTTTTGTGCTTTGTCTATCTTTCCCACACATTCCTACTCTGTCCATGCCACCTAATATACCCTCTGGTAATTTAACATAGCTATTGAAAATGGTGATTTATAGTCGATTTTCCCATTAAAAATGGTGGATCTTTCCACAGTTATGTAACAGTTTACCAGAGGGTAGAAGTGAGTGAGAATCAGCCTGATAGCCCAGTGACACATGGCACTGGCACTTCCAAGTCTTGTCGCTTTGTCAAGCCAACCAACAGCCATGCCATTCTTTGGGGCTTCAATGAAGGGAAAACAACCGTCGGCCCAAAAGAAATTGGCCAATTCGGTTACCAAAAATTTTAGGGATCGGAAAGGTTACTTAGCCACATAGTAACTATTTCCGTGGAATACCACATTTCACGGAGTATAAAATAGGCTACTCCAAAATGATTTTTTTGGTGAGCTACCCCAAAAAAATGACCAAAGGTGGACCAAAATAGTGAATCACGTTCCCCAAAAAAAAATAGCCATGTTGGGGGTTAATTTGTTAATCCACCATTTTCAGCAACCCCCAATTTTGGCCGATGCCGAAACGTTGGAGACCGGGGAAATAGTTGGAATTCGCATCATCGAAAGCTCCGGGGAAAGCACACTTTTCGGCATCGTTTTGTTGTAGGTTAGTATAAAATACATTCCCCGACGCCTAAAAGTGGCATCAAAAAATATCTCTAAACCTTCGAACTATATCACTATATCCCGATCCCATGATGTCCTGTAAATACATCCCCCAATAGATATCCCAAGGTACGAGTCAAGGTAGCCCGAAGCTTCGACATCAGCTCCCGCAGATTCACTGAAGCCTGGCGTTTTGAAAAACCCTCCGTTCATATCTGGTTGGTGGTTTCAACCCCTCTGAAAAATATGAAAGTCAGTTGGGATGATTCTTCCCAATATATATAGAAAAATAAAAATGTTCCAAACCACCAACCAGATATGAAACACCCCAGATTTATGGTCCCCAGATGTCTGCTTTCTACGAAATCCCGTCTGGTTTCTGGTTCCTGGGAGGTGTTTAAGGTCACGGGGGAAGAGATTACCTTGGGGGTTGCCGTTGGCCTTAGAACTCAACATAGTTGAGGCTGGTGAAATATGTCATAGTTGGGGTGAACCAAATGATTAAGTGGAGATAGCTGTATTTCAGCATAGGGTATCCTAACTTGTAATACATCATGGAATCATGGATGGAGGTTGAAAATCTTGTGGTTACCCACTAACAGTCCCAACTTGACCCCCAAGTGCCCCCAAGTGAATTGGGAACGGGATGAAACAGATGAAACACCTCACCAAATGCCTATGGCCTATGGTAACTTCATGCATCGCAGATCAATTTACGATGCAAGTCTAATGATGTCAATGTGACGTATTTCCAAAAATTGATGTTGAAAAAAAAACAGAATTTCCAAATATGAAGACCCGGGAGCAAAATGATCACCTGAGATATCTTCGAAACTAGGCTGGTAAATGGTTTTGTTTTGAGTTATAGTAGTTGAATACGGTTGGATGGCCACCATCAACTGCAATAGGGGGGCTTGGGGGTGCACATCACGACTACCGGAGTGAACATAGATCCGCAGTGAACGGCTTAAGAGGAAACTAGTCTTCCGACCACTAACTCGTGGCTATGTGAATTGCAGGGATGGTACTATCAATTGCTACTTGGTGTTTCACCCCAGTTACTAAGTGGGTAAAACCACCGGAACTAAAAGTGGGCATGACCCCCACTTAGCCTGCTGGATTAGCTGGGGTGATTTTATCTGCGTAAACGATTCCTTTTGTGAAGAGTTACTAATTAGGTTTAAAAAAAAAAAAAGTGATTTTCACTAGATTGATTCTCTTAACCCATACTTACCCATACTTACCCATACTTACCCATACTTACCCATACTTACCCATACTTCTAATCTAGCTACTTAGCACTAAACACTTCTTCCCAGCAGAATCACACCTTCTCCAGGCATTCCAGCTTCTCCGCTTGCGCTGCTTGCCCTTGCCGGCACAGTTCGGACCTCGGCCCAAGGAGCTGCCAATTCACCATGAAACTGTGGCTCTTTTGAGCCACGAAACAAAAAACAAACAGACTTTCATGGGGAAAAAAGAGAAGACTCAAAGGTTTGTACCTCAAAAAAAAACATGCAGAGGATAGAAAAGGGCAGAGATTTAGACTGAGATACCGAGATCTTGGATTCCCCCAAAAAAAATCAGATTTCGGCAAGCTAGGGAGACCCACCAAGTGCGGCTCTAAGTTCACCAGAAATGGGAATATCTTTCCAATATTTTCCAATCATAGTGTCATGGACAGGCCAAAGTAAGGTGTACGATCCAGAAACCATGGCGCCAAATCGCATACCGTGCGTCTCCATGGTCTTCCCTGATGCTTTAGGGGTGCAGCTGGGTGTATTCGTAGGCATTTTTCCATGGTGATAACATCCATAAGTTGGGACATAACCCCTACAACTATGGTGATATCATCAAAATCAATGCTACGCGATTCTGAGAAAATCTCACGCTTCCAAGCCAGAAATGATTCGCCCCGGCTACTCTTCCCCAAGTCCTTGCGGAGCGATCAAACATGATCAAACTATCATGCGGTTGGGAAACTCTGAGCTCCAACTGGCTCCCCATGGCTCTCCTAATGGCTCCCTCCACAGGACAAAACTCTGAGAACCCCAAACGCATAGGTGACAAATCGCTGGATATCACCTCAGATCCGCGCCAGTTTTTCGCCGGAAACGATGGAGGAAACCAACCGGTGTGAAACACTACGTCGTACGTGCATCATTCGCGAAACTTGGGATGTGTGTGTGTGCGTATGTATATATTGATTATTATTCTATTATATAAAATTGTATATATATATACATATGTATATATATATACACATATGTATATATATATATACATACATACATACATACATATATATATATACATATATATACATAATATATACATATGTGTATATATATATATATATATTTATGTATACATGCATGTCATAATATATTGCTATGGTGTGTAAATACATATGTCAGTGTATACGTTCATTGTATCTGTACATATACCTGGAGCCATGGTTATCCCATCCCTAATGATTTCCCTGTACAAGCTGTCCATGAGCCTAAGGGCCTAGGGGCAAACTCCATCAATGCGATGTTCTGTGGGGAAAAACACCACCGTTTTACCACTGGGCGTCGACATCGAACGACCAGTTTTCCACTGGGTGCCTGTCGGAAAACCGGGTACCCCCAATTCCAACGTTGATCTTTTTTTCCAAGGTGAAATGAAGGGGATACCGAACACATTTTCAGATTGCCATATTTTTTATGGGCGTCATCCCTAAAAGCCCAGGCATCCAAACTGGCCAACTCCAACATGAAGAGTAGGAAGGGCGCTTCGGAGCTGTTCACGTCCCCCAAATGTCCCTGCCAGGGAAGGGTCGAATCCAAACGAGACATGGGACCTTCAAAATGAAGATGTCCGATGAAAGCCCGTTGTTAAACCCGTTTTGAAGGATAAAACATGTTAAAACATTGTACTGAATTGCACTGGTAAAACTCAGCACAAACGGGTTCAATCTGGCCGATTCAGGGAAGACCTAGGGAAGTTTCTCAATTGCCTCCTGAAATCAAGGACTTACCACCCCATGATATCCATCAGAAAAAGCGGCTGCTGCCATCATCTGCCATCCCAGCTGCCAATTCCTCTGCTTTGCTAAAGATACTTTGCAGTGGATCCAGGATTGAGGAAGGTGAATGGCAAAGATCACTCAGCAGCAGCCCCAAGGGTGTCCTGCGCCCCGTGCTGGGGTGAAATCGGAACACCGAAAGAACAGAAATGGTGATACAATGTGATACACAATCAACAGATACACTCTGGTAAACTAACATAGCTATTGAAAATGGCCATTTATAGTGGATTTTCCCATTAAAAATGGTGATTTTCCAGAGTTATGTTAGTTTACCAGAAGGTATCAACAGTGTGACACCAATAGTGACACCAATAGTGACCTGTTTCTGAACAAAAGAAGAAACGTAACACTCTTCATCGTTCGGTCTTTCTGAATCCTAGAGACTCTCTTCATTCCTCGGGTTCTGCGAGGGGAGCCACCAAAATAAGAAGGCAATTTGTCTTGTTTTTCCAAGTGGGTACGGGTTAAAACCTAAGCCCCAGTTTTTGATTAGTCACTAGTCTTGGTAAAGAAGTTACCCTCTGGTAAACTGTTACATAACTTTGGAAAATCACCATTTTTAATGGGCAAATCCACTATAAATGGCCATTTTCAATAGCTATGTAACAAATTGCCAGAGGGTACTCAATCTGGAGTAGGTGTGACCTGCTTCTCTTAGCAGGACCAATCCTCAAACAGTTTTTTCGGTGCATCCCCCGGTCGAGGACGGCTAAGTGGTCGATGTCACTATGCATTGCTTTTCACACTTTGAAATGGGCGGCTAGAAATCCTGCAGGAGATTGGCCCCAACCCCGAAAACCAAGGCCTGATTTCTTCAAAATCCCAGAAACAACAACCATATCAACCATACCTGGATCATCCCAGTAACTGGTTCGTAACCCTGGTGAACGTAAGTCCCCGATTCGTGAGTTCTCCCACCTATAAATGGGTGAACGAACTATGGGTGATGAACCACTTATTCAGCGGGGTGGCCCACCAAGTATCAACCAGAAATCATCAGAAATCATCACTCACGGTCCCAAAGAGTTTTTCTGCTTCATCTTCCCCATCAATCTGACATCGCGCAGGGACTCGGGTGCAACTGGCAATCTGTTCCTGGCGTAGCAGTTGAACAGCGACGTGTGGAGGGCAAAGTTGTGATCTGTCCATTTGTTGAACAAGGATCTGGGCAACAAAACTGAGGAAATAGCCTGCATGAAATATCGTGCCAACCAAAACAAATGGCTTCCGCCAGCCCAAATTCGTCGATGCTCAGGTTTGAAGCCCTCGTTGGGGGGTTGGGAGTCTCAAATGCTTTTGCCTAACACAAGATGCAGCAGAAGAAAGGAGCGGATGTGGAAATAGCTGGATACCATGCTTTTGGTACCGGGATCACCATGGAATTGCTGGTACCCTGGTTTTCACAACCCAAAAAACAATAGCTGGTACTCTACTGTCGTACCTAAACAACCACTCTTGTGTGATGTGTTGTGATGTGTTCTAGTGACCCATTTCAGGAATCAAGCACCCAGCGACAGCAAACCACCGCATGGGTAACTAGACCACGGATGGCCCGAGAGCGTAGAGGAGCAGAGTCTTCTGTTGTTACTATGGAGACACGCTTTTTACACACAGGCTCTTTTACACACAGACGCTTTTACACACAGACGCTTTTACACACAGATGCTTTTTACACGCAGGCGCTTTTACACACAGAAGCTTTTACACACAGACGCTTTTACACACAGACGCTTTTTACACGCAGGCGCTTTTACACACAGAAGCTTTTACACACAGACGCTTTTACACACAGACCCTTTTACACACAGACGTTTTTACACACAGACGCTTTTACACACAGACGCTTTTTTACACACAGGCTCTTTTACACACAGAGACTTTTACACACAGAGGCTTTTACCCGCAGAGACTTTTACACACAGACGCTTTTACACACAGACGCTTTTACACACAGACGCTTTTACACACAGACGCTTTTTACACATAGGCTCTTTTACACACAGACGCTTTTACACACAGACGCTTTTACACACAGAAGCTTTTACACACAGAAGCTTGTACACACAAACACTTTTACATACAAACACTTTTACACACAGAAGCTTTTACACACAGACGCTTTTACACACAGACGCTTTTACACACAGATGTTTTTACACACAGACGCTTTTACACACAGACGCTTTTACACACAGACGCTTTTACACACAGACGCTTTTACACACAGACACTTTTACACACAAACGCTTTTACACACAGACGCTTGTACACACAGACGCTTTTACACACAGACGCTTTTACACACAGACGCTTTTACACACAGAGACTTTTACACACACAGACGCTTTTACACACAGAAGCTTTTACACACAGACGCTTTTACACACAGACGCTTTTACACAAACACTTTTACACACAGACGCTTTTTACACACAGACGCTTTGACACACAAACACATTTACACACAGACCCTTTTACACACAGACGCTTTTACACACAGACGCTTTTACACGCAGACGCTTTTTACACACAGACACTTTTACACACAGACGCTTTTTACACACAGAAGCTTTTACACACAGACGCTTTTACACACAGACACTTTTACACACAGACGCTTTTACACACAGACGCTTTTACACACAGACGCTTTTACACACAGAGGCTTTTACACACAGAGACTTTTACACACAGAGGCTTTTACAGACGATTTTACACACAAACACTTTTACACACAGAGACTTTTACACACAGGGAATTTTATACATAGAGATTTTTACACACAGACGCTCTTACACAGACGATTTTACACACAAACACTTTTACACACAGAGACTTTTACACACAGGGACTTTTACACATAGAGATTTTTACACACAGACGCTTTTACACACAGAAGCTTTTACACACAGACGCTTTTGTGCACAGACGCTTTTACACACAGACGCTTTTACACACAGACGCTTTTACACACAGAAGCTTTTACACACAGACGCTTTTACACACAGCTTTTACACACAGACGCTTTTACACACAGACACACAGACGCTTTTACACACAGACACAGACGCTTTTACACACAGACGCTTTTTACACGCAGGCACTTTTACACACAGACAAGTCCGGCACAAGTAAAATCGCAATTTTACCTTAGTTTTTGACGAACCCTCATTTCGTGCGCTCCAGCACACGATAAATCGCTTACGTCAGTTTTTGCCGATCGACCCTGATTTCGTGCGAAAGGGTTGCTCCGGCACAAGTAAAATCGCAATTTTACCTCAGTTTTTGTCGATCGACCCTCATTTCGTGCGAAAGGGTTGCTCCAGGACAAGTAAAATCGCAATTTTACCGCAGTTTTTGTCGATCGACCCTCATTTCGTGCGAAAGGGTTGCTCCAGGACAAGTAAAATCGCAATTTTACGTCAGTTTTTGACGATCGACCTTCATTTCGTGCGAAAGGGTTGCTCCGGCACAAGTAAAATCGCAATTTTACGTCAGTTTTTGACGATCGACCCTCATTTCGTGCGAAAGGGTTGCGTTTCGTGCCGTCTCGTTGGCACTGCCCCTGCTCCCGCCTTCAAAAGAGAAATAGAAAAGAAGGAGAGGGCAAGAGGGCAAGAGGGCAAGAGGAGAAGATGTGAGATGAGAAGATGAGAAGATGTGAGAAGATGTGAGAAGACGTGAGAAGATGTGAGAAGATGTGAGAAGATGTGAGAAGATGTGAGAAGATGTGAGAAGATGTGAGAAGATGTGAGTGGAGGTGTGAGAAGATGTGAGAAGATGTGAGAAGATGTGAGAAGATGTGAGAAGATGTGAGAAGATGTGAGAGATGTGAGAAGATGTGAGAAGATGTGAGAAGATGTGAGAAGATGTGAGAAGATGTGAGAAGATGTGAGAAGATGTGAGTGGAGGTGTGAGAAGATGTGAGTGGAGGTGTGAGAAGATGTGAGAAGATGTGAGAAGATGTGAGAAGATGTGAGAAGATGTGAGAAGATGTGAGAAGATGTGAGAAGATGTGAGAAGATGTGAGAAGATGTGAGAAGATGTGAGAAGATGTGAGAAGATGAAGATGAAGATGAGAAGATGTGAGAAGATGTGAGGAGAAGAAGATGAGAAGATGTGAAGATGAGAAGATGTGAGAAGATGTGAAGATGTGAAGATGTGAAGATGAGAAGATGTGAAGATGAGAGGATGTGAAGATGAGAGATGTGAAGATGAGAGATGTGAAGATGAGAAGATGTGAAGATGAGAAGATGTGAAGATGAGAAGATGTGAAGATGAGAAGATGAGGGATGAGGAGAAGATGTGAGGATAAGAAGATGTGAAGATGAGAAGATGTGAAGATGAGAAGATGTGAAGATGAGAAGATGTTTTACAGACCCCCACTATTGGAAGAACCCTGCGCTCAGACGCTCTCGGGAAAAACAAATTCTGCACGACGTCCATAGGTTTTTTGTAGGCCAAGGGGAATTGCTGCGCCTTTCAATGGGATAAAAAGAAATGAAATACGATCTTGTATGCATGTGCATAAATATGATGTGTGTGTGTGTTGGAAATAGATTTGACATATTCATATAATATATATATATACATTCAGTACATATAGATTTTCTTATGCCCCACGTTCTTCGGGTAACCTCCAATTGAGATAAGATTAGTGGCCTCAACATGTTCTGAGTGACCGTTTGATCGATGGTCGTCTTTGAAGCTGGTGCATAATCCATCTTGTCCACTGACCATATGAATAGACATGTGTCATATGTCTGTATGTATATATATATATACATACATATTTATATATACATCCAAGATCCGCACATATATTCCAAATAGTAATTGTAGTAAGAATAATGATCCATCTTATCCATCTTATCCATCTGCAACAGTTGCAATAGAGACCCCCCAAAACAGGAGACTCTGCCACCATCGGCTCGCCACCGCCTGGTAGCCTCGCGGCTCAAAGAGCACAGCACGGAGGAGCCTCTGCAGCCTTAGTTTTTGAGAAAGCGGTGCGTTTTCACAGCCACAGTTTTTTAGATATGGGGATATGAAAAGCATGAACTGGATGACTGATTCATCATAAACTACCAATGTAGGCAATTCATATTTTAGAATCTACAATCTATGTTCATATTCCAGATAGAGTAGTCCACTCGTTTTAATAGGTATAGCAAACCCCCAAAAAAAAGATGGAAAAGTACAAAAAAACCTTCTAACCATCAAAAATGGAGGATGGGAAGTTCTTTGAAGTTCTTGGAAGTTGAAATGGGCCACTCAAATCGACCTTCAATTGGGTCACCCATTTCTTGCCAAGCCAAGCTAAAGAGGGTCCATCTTCAACCCGGAACTTAGCCCCGGGGTGTTGAAATCCATGGTTTACTGCGGATGTTGCTTTCAACCAAAGCAGTGAGCCTTGTCGTTCTACGAGACCAGAACCCTCGTTTCGAGAAAAGAAATGCCACCTCGGATCACTTTCTTCTATGGGTGAACATTCCATATGAAATCATAAATTGGGAACCATGGTTGGTTTGTCTATTCTTACAGTATGGGCATGGGTCAAAATCGGATTTTCGACCCAGCAATAAATGCGCAATTTGCTGGGATCTGGGATGAAGCTGATGTGAAGCCCCTCGCTAAGCATGATGATTGGTTCCAATCACTCCAATAACCATGAAGGGTGAAAACTGGACCCTATTTTTACTCTTTTTGTTGATGCACTTGCGAACCATGTTGATGTTATGGGGTGGGTGGGGTGGGGGGGTGTATTAACGTTCATGTAGACTCTAAGCAGAAACGAATGCGTTTGTGGAAAAGATGTTAGATGTTACGTTATGGGATATGGCTGGAGGTAGGACAGATGTTACATGTGACGTTACGCTGCTTGCGTTGACAGGGTAAAGATGTTACATGTTACGTTAAGTTGTTTGTGTTGACCAAGTGAAAGATGTTACACGTTACGTCATGGGATATGGCTGGAATTAGGACAGATGCGCAGCAGTGGCAATGGCGGTGGGTCCAGGAGAAACACTTGTTTCAGGCTACTGGTCGACAGTTGCACAAAGAAGCCTTTGGATGAAAACACTCCAAAAATCACACATTGATAAGCAAAGCATGCATATATCAAAACGAAACGGCCCAAAACCCAGCTTTTAGACACTTGGAGAAAGGAATTTGATCAAATTCCTTGCAGATATGAAGTTGCAATTCGCATGGCGCTGCCAATACGAAATACACATTCAACTGTAAATTAAGGTCCGAATAACCCCCCGGATGGATGTTTGTTGCTTGAGCCACCACTGTCAATGATCAATTCCAAAAAAAATGCGGGACATCCCGAGTTGCAGGGTGCCAATGTCTAAAAGCGTTTATCTTCCTGCTTGTTTGAGGCCGGGGTTGGTAGTACAACCCCGCCCTCAACCATTTTGCATCATTTTGCTCTATATTTGTTGGTGAACCTCCCCATTTTGTGCTCAACTCATCTTGTTTTTTCTGCAGGCAGTGCAAAAATAATCCTCACCATGATCTCTGACTTTCATCCCCAGCTTTTTTCTGACCTAAGCCAGCTAGAAACCACTAACAAAAAGCAGTTGCAAACCACTTTTTTTCACCAGTTCCAGGCCACAAACCATCTGTAAACCAGCTACTAATGACTTGATAAACCAGTTATTCATTGGATTGGTTTAAGGGAAAATCGAAACCGGAAACCATGGTAAAAATACCACTAAATATGGAGCTTTCCGGTTTCAATTTTCCCTTAAACCAATCCAATGGGTGAAAAACCTGTTTCTGTTTCCATGATTTATCGGCTTCAATGGCCACCACCCCCACCACGCCCACCACGCTCCAAGATCTCCAAGCCGCTCCGGGTTGAAGAGATAGGTGGCTCGATCCTGCGAAGCGAAGAAGTCTAAGACCAGCGGCAGCTGCAGGTAGGGCACCGTCAAGAAACCTCAGTGAAAAAATCAGTCAGATCTCTGAAAATATGGAGAACATGGTGATTTTTTTCAGGGATACAATGGGGATGTATATGATATATAATATATATAATATGGATGACATATGGACATACGGATTTAACCAAAAAAAGAAAAAGAAGAAACTCTTTTTGGGACGCGAAAAGCGAAAGTGGTTCTGCATGACCAGCAACTCATCAAGGTTTCGGCCTCATCGGGACTCAAAGTCTCCTAGCGAAGCTTCCATGTGTGGAGCCTCCGGTAATTTGTCACGCTGTAGGAAGCCATGCTTCAGCAATACCCTCTGGTAAACTAACATAACTATGGAAAATCACCATGTCATTTTTAATGGGAAAACTCACTATAAATGGCCATTTTCAATAGCTACGTTAAATTACCAGAGGGTAGTCCGCTGATTGATTTTCAGATTACTAAGCCATGGTCCGAAAAAAATTCGATCAATACTTCGATGATTTGAATTTAGCTAGTTGAATGGTGATGACTGGTGATGTGGAAATAGCGAACGGCAAAACTCCAACGGGAGGGTACATTGAGGGATCTTATGTAAGGATTTATAAGGATTTACAGTATAAGGAATATCAATGGGATACCCTTCAGTAATCAACTGGCCCCTAGGAAATCCTCAGCCGTGGAGGTTTATGGTTGGGAAATCCTCCAACTAAATAGTCGATTTTCGCAGCAAGCCACGTTTGAGTTTCCAGCAAATGTCAGCAAACCCAGGTTGGTTCAGAGAGAGTACCTTTTCAGGTAAAAAATCAGGGAAGATAGACTAGATAGACTACCCTCTGGTAAATTAACATAACTATGGAAATCACCATTTTTAGTGGGAAAACTCACTATAAATGGCCATGTTCAATAGCTATGTTAAATTACCAGAGGGTACATAGGCTACTCTTCAACCCACATCTTTCCATCTTTCGACATCTTGCCATGCCAACCTCCAAACTCCCCAGACACGTCCTCAAAGGTGGGCAGACTTTGGGCATGAAGCACATCTTCCTGTCACTGTAAAAACGGGTCACATCCAACATGCGTCAAGTTCTGCGCTTGTTTTTTTGGGAATTCATGATGGTCATCCTACAATTCAAAAAAAGGATGTGAAAACCTCTGGTAAATTAACAGTTGGACCCTGAAAATAACCCATGCTTAGTGGTTTCACTCATCTTCCGACCCCTACAGTATCTACCAGGGTCCAACTGTTAATTTAATGTTGTCTGACCAATAGTGATATCTTGTCAATAGTAGAAACATGTTTCCGCAACTCCAATTTTTCTCCAATACTAAAAGTCAATTAGCTCTATTTACTTTTAGTATTGCCAAAAGAGTCATGTTCAGACCTTGCCCAGAGGGCATGGCCAATAGTGGACCCAACATGGCAATAGTGGAAACTTTTTTCCCAACTCCAATTTTTTCTCCAATACTAAAAGTCAATTAGCTCTATTTACTTTTAGTGTTGCCAAAAGAGTCAAGTAAAGCAAATCCTTTTCAAAGCAGCCTTCACTTTTGATTAGCAAAAGCTTAGATTCCAGAAATCTGATCCAATTACCAAACAGCTGATTTCCTTATAAAACCCTTATTAAAAAAAGCAAAAAAACAGGTCCACAAAGGGTACCCCCTTTGCAAATAACAAACCTGCACCAGGCATGGCAATAGTGGAAACTGTTTTCCGCAACTCCAATTTTGTTGTCCTCCTTCTCCTTCTCCTTCTTCTCCTTCTTCTCCTCCTCCTCGTCCTCCTCCTTCGCCTCCACCAAATCCATTCGGAATCTTTCAGAAACCCAACAAAACCATGGAGAATCTATCAGATACATATCATGATCCCAGCTATAGATTCCCAAAAATTATTATAGGAAGGTTGACCCCCCCTTAAAAAAAAAATAGGGGGGGTAATTACTATTAGGCAGCCAACATTACAAAGGATGGGATAAATCCATGTTGAATCCTGAAGTGAACATGGAGTGATTTTTCAGATTCCCCTTGATAGATCCTGAAATCTTGGAGAATTGGCACTCCTATGAGCTGGTAACTGTACTTCCGCGGTAAATCTATTGGGTGGTACCCTCTGGATGTTCAAAAATAGCTATGGAAGACATGGCCCATTGAATTTACCCATTAAAAATGGTGATGTTCCATAGCTAAGTTGCAATACGGCTAAACCATTCCTATTTGTCTCTACAATTCCAAGGCCCCAAGGCTATTTCTGCATGGATCACAACCTTTCTTGCGACAAAAAAAAACTGAATCGGCTGCTTAAGCTCCAGTCATTGGAAGCCCTCATCGCATTTCTTAGCACGGAAACCAAAAAAAACTGAAAATGTGCAACCATCGATTTATCATCAAGTATCATCAACTACCTACCATGGCTATGACCTCCATACGACCTATGCCATGCCGCAAGACGACGTCGTCGCGTCGTCGTCCTCCGTGCACTGCGGTCTCTCCAAGAGTTTGGAGACATCTGCTGGACTCTGGACCACCAAGCCTGGCTGAAGATACCCTTTGGTAATTTAACATAGCTATTGAAAATGGCCATTTATAGTGGATTTACCCATTGAAAATGGTGATTTTCCATAGTTATGTAACAGTTTACCAGAGGGTAGTCACCCCACAATCTCAATTCACCACAGAATTGTGGGATTTCCATAGGATTTCCATGGCCAATTGCTTGGAGAGTCTCGCATCTTCAAACTGAAAGGCCATATGTCAACTTCACCCAATGGGACCACGGGAGTTCCAGAAGCTGACCAAAAAAAATACTTTACTTCGTGTGATCCCCACCATGACATTTGTCGATTTGTTACTGGCAAATCTTCTGGCATTCTATCTGACATATCTTCTGGCATTCGATCTGGCATACCTTCTGGCATTCTACTTGGCATATCTTCTGGCATATGTCCTGGCATATCTTCTGCCATCCTATCTGGCAAATCTTCTGGCATTCTATCTGGCAAACATTCTGGCATACCTTCTGGCATTCTATCTGATATTCTATCTGGCATACCTTCTGGCATTCTATCTGGCATATTTTCTGGCATATGTTCTGGCATATCTTCTGGCATTCTATCTGGCATTCTATCTGGCATATCTTCTGGCATATCTTCTGACATCCTATCTGGCATTCTATCTGGCAAATGTTCTGGCATTCTATCTGGCAAACATTCTGGCACTTTATCTGGCATACCATCTGGCATATCTTCTGGCATACCTTCAGGCATTCTATCTGGCATATCTCATGGCATTTTATCTGGCATATCTTCTGGCATTCTATCTGACATTCCACCTGGCATATCTTCTGGCATTCTATCTGGCCGTTGAGGTCCAGCGGTGCACATTCTTTCTAACTTTCTTCTGCACATTCTTTGTCCCATATCTTCCTACATGAGGTCCGGCAGGGAACACTTGGCGTGGATACTCGCGGTTGAGGTCCGGCAGGGAACACTGGGCGTGGATGGTCGTGGTTGAGGTCCGGCAGGGAACACTGGGCGGGGATACTTCGCGGTTGAGGTCCGGCAGGGAACACTGGGCGTGGATGGTCGTGGTTGAGGTCCGGCAGGGAACACTGGGCGGGGATGGTCGTGGTTGAGGTCCGGCAGGGAACACTGGGCGTGGATGGTCGTGGTTGAGGTCCGGCAGGGCACACTGAGCGTGGATGGTCGTGGTTGAGGTCCGGCAGGGCACACTGAGCGTGGATCGCGGTTGAGCAGGAGGACGAGAAGAGGGAGGAGAAGGAGGAGGACGAGGACGAGGAGGACGAGGAGGACGAGGAGGAAGCAACTGACATAAAATCTAACAACCCTCACCTGGCAGGTGGGGAAAAACGTCGGTTGTCATTCTCCCAGAAAAGTTTGGGAACCTGGGAACCATGGAACCAGAAAAAAAGGAAGACCACAGGTACCTGGGAACCATGGAACCGTTGTTTTCGAAGCTTGACTACGACTCTATCTCTCTTTCATGATGAAGCTATGAACTAGACACCTCGGAAAAAAACCTCATCAAATATTCATCAACTTTCAAAGATGTGAAGAAACTCAGCCTTTCACCATTTGGTTTACTCAGCTGATCTCCACAGGTCACATTTCTTCGTGACGAAGGTCATGGCCGCCATGGCCCAAGAGCACCTTCGCCGAGCGTCAACTCACGTCCAAAGGCCGAAGCTGTGAGGTCAGCAATGTCCTGCGATGCGGGCAACTTTGCCAGCAGATATGATTCTCATGTCATGTGATATATACATATGATGTATGTGTATATATATATTACTATGGTTGCTATTATTTTGCTATTGTTATCATTAATGATTGTTACTATTATTGTTGTTCCTAGCGTTATTGTTACTGTTTTCAATATCACTATGACTATTAATATTACTATTGGTATGATTGTCGTTGCTGTTGTTATTGTTGTTGTTACTTATTATTACTATATTTATCATGATCATTATTGTTATTGTGGTTGTTATTCTTGATTGTTGTCATTATTAGATAGTATCAGTATTGTCATCATGTTCATTGTCGTTGTTACTGTTGTAATTACTATCAATATTATTAGTATTATTAATATTATTACTGTACTATCATTATTATCACTATTTGTGTTGCTCTTATTGTTACTTTGTTACTATCATTATTGTAATCATTATTCTTGTTATTGCTGACCTTATTCTTCCCCATTCGCGCATTCGCTTAGGGGTCTCCAGCATTCGCTTCCGGGGTTCCGAATCCGGGGAGTTGCGGTGCGGGTAGTCGCGCCCCTTGCCAGGGTAGTTGTTTCCACATTAATCATTCTCCAATTATCCAACTTTGCTGGGGATACGTGATATCCTGTGTCTGGAATTATGGAATTTTGGACCCACCCAATTCAGTCTGAGTTTCTGCCCCAGAAAGACATAGACTGACTGAGATTTGCTCAAATCTGCAACTTTGCAGAAAATCAGAAAATACCTTGCAATCTCGGGGCTGTCTAGGAAAACACACCAACAGAGCACACATAGTCGGGAGTCGATAAACTGACCAAAAATAGCCTCGGCCATGATAGCTCAGAGACACACTGCCAAGTTCCAGCTTGTGAGGGTCGAAGCTCATACCCTCCGGGCTTATGGCTAAATCCCACAATCACAAGGTGAAAAGAGGTTGGTTGACCAGGTCATCCATGAAAACAATCTCACCAATCAGCCAGAAAAATAGCTCAAGCTATTTTGGGGGAGGGAAAAAAAACGTGGTTCAGGTTTTTCACTGGATTCGCGGTTTTTTTCCGCCTGATTTTTTTCGCCCGAGTGTGATGCTGGAAATTGTGGCACGAGTTTGTCACAAAACAAGCTGTCCATGACAACATAGACAGATATGACAGATATACAGCAGTGCGTCTTCCAAATTTGGACGATACTCCACGCCAGACCAAAACATGTTTTCCCAGGTTTCTGAGTCGCGTTGCATCAAACGTTGTTCATTCCGACTTAGTCCCAGCGTTGGAAGCCTGAGCCAGCCATCCCAACATCCAACGGAGTTCACCATGTCCGACCGCACCATCCCCGGGTCACCATTTTTTCAATGGCATTGAAATAAAGCATATTATCTGTCATGGGAGTTCTTTATCCCCAAGTCATCAACTATGAACATAGGTGCTACCCTCTGGTAAACTAACATAGCTATGGAACATGGCCCATTTATAGGGAGTTTTCCCATTAAAAATGGTGATTTTCCATAGTTATGTTAGTTTACCAGAGGGTATGTAGAAACCATCCCGTCATGGGAGTTGTTCTCCTGGTCCGGCCCGCGAACGCCTTGCACTTCCCAGTGGATCGCCTCAGCAAGCGCAACCAGTCCATTTACAAAACCCCCGAAAAACATAGAAAAAGAGGTGGAAAAGCCAGGAAAAACCATGGAAAAACCATGGTTTTTCCACATTTTTGAGAAAAACCATGGAAAATTCCAAGGGAAATTCCACATCTTTCTGCTAAATCTTTCCCCGGGAAATTCCCCATTCGAAATTGGGAAATTCCATTCCCGCCATGTCACTGGCACATCTTGGTGCCAACCGAAGCCTGGACGTGACGCCTGGTCACCATCGAAGGTCAATCGCCAAAACCTGAGGACCAAAAAACATCTATAGATGCTATATATCATATTATACATGTAAGAAATGTGTTGTTAATATAGTTCAAAACATGTGTCACATGTGTGTATATATATATATATACATCGGGGTATGCTGTATATGTATAGATCCGTGTGCGTGTGCGTGTATGAATCGCAGTTTTTAATGCTGAGCCAATGAATCACAGAATACAACGCCTAGTGGTTGATGCGTTTAGCACATGTGGGGCCTACAAGCAATCTCCTCAGGAAAATTCAACTCATGCTTTTACCCTCTGGTAAACTAACATAGCTATTGAAAATTGCCATTTATAGTGGATTTTCCCATCAAAAATGGTGATTTTCCATAGTTATGTTAGTTTACCAGAGGGTAATAGACCTGATCAAACATAGGGATAGTCCAATTCCAATTTAGTGCCAAGAAATTTCCCAAAGATGAGATTCTCTCCAAACAATTTGCAGCCGGCTGCACGCGCGTGTATTTCTATGCGCGATCTGGGGATGTCTAGGGCCCGAAAAAATCCCACAACCTACCATTGATATCCATTGATACCCTCACGCGCTGATCATACTGAGCTCCCAACTGATATTCATTGGTATCTCTTCTTTTCCTGGCAATTTTCGCAGTCAAGGCCTCCAACTCCAAGGTCTGTTGCTTCATCACTGGCTTCCCATATGGTGTTTTATCACCAGAGAAACTCTCAGACTGGTCAAACAACTGCTACTTTCAACCTGTCTCCCGGTAGGGGCGGCCCTTTGACTCCTTTGACTGGGTCGGCCAGGCAACCCCGTCATTCGTCATCCCCCAACTGGATCCCCAACTGGTCGGCATCCTCAAGAGTTCGGTGCTGCGAGGTTCCATGGTACTCAAAAACTTGAAGAGCATCGCCATGTCTCTGCACCTCATGGCATGGACAGCCCTTCCCGGTGTTACCGAGCCACCGGGTATCGGTGATTTTTTGAGTGCGGAATGTGGAACTTGGAAGGGGCTGCATCTCGGGAATCGCTTCAGTCGGAAATAACCATATTGTACACCACATATTATATATATATATTATATATATATATGTATATACATAAATTTATATATATATATGTTATGTAATGTAATGTAATTTAATGTAATGTAATGTAATGGTAATGGTACTGGTAATGGTAGTGGTAATGGTAATGGTAATGTTAATGTATGTATGTATATGGGTTATATGTGGGTTCTATGAATGGGTTTTATGAATGGGTTCTATGAATGGGTTCTATGAATGGGTTGTAAATCAGTTCCAACTTAGGATGCCTGCGACGAAAAAAGTTCACACCTCCAACGGATGTCATTCTCGGTACTAATCTCTTCCATTGCAGTCATCTACACTGATCAACCTTTCCAAAATCGGCGATGTTCAAAATATGAAAGTCAGTTGGGCTGATGACATTCCCAATATATGGAAAGTCATAAAATTCATGTTCCAAACCACCAACCAGATACTCATATATAATTATTATTCAACTATGATCAATATGAATACGAGCCATACCAACTGACACCAAGGACTGCCAACACGGCACCAGTACATCTCAGGGCATGCATCTGCTAGCTGTCCTCGCCCAAAGAGCCAGTCCTCTGCGAATTTTGTGCAGAACCGCAGTAGAGGATTGAACCCACCGAATATTCGAAGTTGTAATAATCGTATGACAATTGTTGTTGTGATTATCTATCATTATTATTAGTTACCATTGTTGTTATTATCATATTGTTATATACATATAATATACACCTGGTATGAGGATGTATAAATGGAAAAGTTTTTTAGAATTGTTCATGTGGTAGCATGAATAATAGGATGCATATTATGCAAATTTTATGAATAATCCATGTATAAATATATAGTATAGATATGCATTTAAAAAACAAAAAAAACTGAATTTTTAAGTAATAGCATGTTTCAGCTATCGAACACCAGGTATGAGGATGGAGTCTTCAATATCTTTCACTGACATTGCCAACTGGTTTCAAACAGCCAGCTTCACACACTGGACATACCCAAAGACTGCCCAAATGGCTAATTGCGGATCGGAAGATCGGAAACCATAGCTATCTTCACAATTTTCCCTGGTTTCTTGATGTTTGTTGATTGAAACTCACCATTTCTATCGCTTCAGTTTGCGCAAGCCCATTGCCATGTTGGACCAGGGATGACAAATTCAGAAACACTGCTGTGAATCGCCATTTGGAAAAATGACATCAATGACATCCCGATCTTTTGCTGCTTACTTTAGCAAGTCATCATCTCCCAGTTGATTTTTCGCGTTAAAACCCCCATTCTTTGGGGATTTCTCAGCCATGAGGAGACCGGAGGGTGCTATCATCGGTTGGGATGTTTAGCTGTTTCAAATCCCCAGCCTTCCTTGGTGAAAACATCTTAACTCTTGCTTGACCAGGATGATTCTTCAGTGACACTTCCCTGAGTCATGTTCCAAGATCTTCTGTTTATCGATTCCCTCACAAACACCATTAATTACAAACATTACTGTCTGAGGATTTTCATTGGAGTTTATCGAAAGTTTCAGCAGGGAAAAAAAACTAGACCCGAAAAGAAAGACAGATCCGAAAAATGAGCGAAAAGCCCAAAGTAATCAAACTGAAATCATGTTTTAATTGTTCTCCCATATCATATCTCATGAGCCAAGTAAACATCAGCAAAAATCAACGTCCAAAACGCCCAAACGTCCCAACGGTGTCCCTTCCGAGCATCGGCCAGGGCTTCCATTTCGCTCACCGGCGCACCACGGGGGACGAGTTCCAGTCCCTTACGCTCCAGCACCTGGTGGCCGTTGCGATCACATAAAGGTCCAGGAACAAGGTGTCAAGAAAACATCAGAAAACTACTGGTTGGTGGTTTTAACCATCTGGAAAAATATGAGTTCGTCAATGGGAAGGATGACATCCCATATACCAGTAGTACCGCACAAGGCGGCGGCGGAAGTTTCAAAAATAGGAAACCTATAGGAGACGTTGGTTGTTGTGAATCACGGATGGCAGAGCGAATCCACTGATTGACCGAAAGGTGGTTGGAGTTGTGTTTGCTGGAATGGTTGCAATGGTTGCAGTGGTCACCTCACCCACAACTGCTGGATGTAGTGTGATGTACTGCAACTGTAGATGTAGTTGTAGCGTAGTGGAGTTGTAGTTGTGGTGTAATGTAATTAGTGTAGTGTAGTTGCAGTCATATAGTTGTAGCTGTAGTTGTTTTGTAGTTGTGGTTGTAGTTGTTGTAGTTGCAGTTGTTGTGTAGTGTTGTAGTAGTAGTAGTAGTAGTAGTTGTTGTTGTTGTTGTAGTTGTAGTTCTAGTTGTAGTTGTTGTGTAGTTGTAGTTGTTGTAGTTGTAGTTGTAGTTGTTGTAGTTGTTGTAGTAGTTGTTGTTGTTGTTGTTTAGCTGTAGTTGTTGTAGTTGTAGTTCTAGTTGTGGTTGTTGTGTAGTTGTTGTGTAGTTGTAGTTGTAGTTGTAGTTGTAGTAGTTGTTGTTGCTGTTGCTGTTGTTGTTGTTGTTGTTGTTGTTGTTGCTGTTGTTGTTGTAGCTGTTGTAGTTGTAGTTCTAGTTGTAGTTGTAGTTGTTGTGTAGTTGTTGTAGTTGTAGTTGTAGTTGTTGTTGTTGTGGTTGGTGTTGTTGTTGTTGTTGTTGTTGCTGTTGCTGTTGCTGTTGCTGTTGTCGTCGAAGTTAGGGTAGTTAAGTTAGTGAAGTTAGTTAAGTTAGTTAAGTTAATCAGTGTCTACTTTTTCGACATCTTCACGTCAAAAAAGGCTCAAAACCCTCAGTTTTTTACACTTTTGACTTTGAAATGTGCTTCGCGCCACAACGGCGTGCACTTTTTCGACACTTTTTCGACATCTGAACCTCCAAAAGTGGTCCGAACATGGTGTGTTTTGTGCATTTTGACTTGGAAATGTGCTTCGCGCCACAACGGCGTGCACTTTTTCGACATCTCAACTTCCAAAAGTGGTCCGAACGTGGTGTGCTTTGTACATTTTGACTTGGAAATGTGCTTCGCGCCACAACGGCGTGCACTTTTTCGATATCTCAACTTCCAAAAGTGGTCCGAACGTGGTGTGTTTTGTACATTTTGACTTGGAAATGTGCTTCGCGCCACAACGGCGTGCACTTTTTCGACATCGCAACTTCCAAAAGTGGTCCGCTCCTCTAGTGTTTTGTACATTTTCACTTGGAAATGTGCTTCGCGCCACAACGGCGTGCACTTTTTCATCTCTCATCTGGCCAGCTGGCTCCGCACCCGCCGCTTTAGCGAGCCTACTTTTCGACCCTCCGGAGCCACAAATCATTGGAAAAACACAGTGAATCGCGACTTTCCTATCTTTTCGCGCATCTACATCTTCTTTCTTCTGATCTTTTCTCTTCTGACTCTTCTCACCTCTGCTTTTCAACTGTCCATATTGTCGGAAGTATAGCTTCTAAACTTCCTTCGATTATGGAAAATAAAAAATGTTTGAAACCACCAACCAGACTATGTTCAAAATCTGCTCAAATGGAGGTGATTGAACTTCGAAGATTCGGAGTGTGTTGCTGTAAAAACAAATGATGTGGGTAAAACAATAATTAAACCACCCATTTGTGAATGGTGTATTGTTTTACCCACATATGACGTGTTACGAGACATTGGGCCCGGGGATTTCAAGCACAATTTGATGAATATTTACCACCCAAAAGGAATGTCAATTGGACCTGCAAGAATCTGGGATTCAGGATTCTTACCGGCAAAATCCACCAGTTGCTATCCATTGGCTGCTGGAATGATAGTGGTACCAAAAAAAGGATGCTTCGACCAACAAAAACCAAGTGTTCTCAGGGGATTGCTGCATGGGCCCGGGATGGGTCTAAAATTGTGCACCCAAAAAAATGGGGGTTGACCAACAGCAGAAGTTTTACCAACAGCAAATTGGAAATTCACCAGCCAAGCATTGGGGTCAAATTTTGGTTAGGCAAAATGGAATGCCTGAAGCCCGAGAAAGATCAATGACCGAGACAACTGCAGATTGAAACAACAAACTTGAGGGATTTCACAAGAAAGAGAATGTGGTGGAATCAACAATCATCTGGTGGGTACGCCATACGTCAAACAACTAGCACGAACAGGATTGGGAAATGCGGCCAATGGAGATAGAAACATCCACATACGTAGGAGAATTACCGAGCCAAAATGGGCATTGAACCAACAAACTGGCAGAAGGTAAGAAACGAGTCAAATCTACAAACCGGGACGGTCAGGTGGGCAAAACCTGCCAGAGCTACCAGGGCCCAACATTGACAATTCTCATCTGCCTAGTGTTCACTAACCTGATGATTTTGTGATCACAAAAAATGTTGGGACACGGTAAAACGACAAGAAAGACTATTGCAACCAGACTTCGCGGACGGTTCATCTGTTTCAACCCAGAATTTTCTCTGCCAGAATTCTCTTGGTTTCTGGATCTGTGGGGTCAAAAAAAAAAACGCCAGAACTTGACCCTCCAAAGTCTGCATCCCAACTTCTAAGGATCTCAAGTATGTCAAGCCCGCCTTTCGCAAGAGCGCGATGGTGGACGAGTACTTCCTGACCTACTGCGCCAGGAAGAAGAAACATCCCCCGGTTTCTTAATCCTTGGTGAAGCTCCTCGGAGTCTTGTTCGGCTGTTTCACAAAAAATTCACATCCGCATGGCTGGAAAACCAAAGTGCGTTCTAAAATGTTGTCCCAAAATAAAAATTGCTTGGTTTTTAGAACGACTTTTTCCAGTTGGTGTGTGATCATAGCCAATATATCAAGGATAGGTTACTAACCCAACAATGACTCACCATGGCTGTCAAATACTGCGCCCATACTGGTCCTGCCTCAAAGCTGCCAGTGCCTACCATTCGCAAGTCGAAGATCTTCTGCGTCGAAGTGCTTTCCCGCCATTGCAAGTAGCTCAGAATCTCTCGACCTCGCGGTGTACTTGCAGAATCACGAAGAAAATACACGGTTGATGGGTTGAATTTTGGGACTTCTACGACCTTGGTTTCTGGAGAATTCCGGGAATTCTCAATGTCAACAGCCAGTCGTGATCAGAAAATATCTTGGAGAATCAATATAATCAATGGCAAATCGTCAATTACGAGCTTGGATCGTCATAGGCGATCTTGAAGATCCTGAAATTCTGCAGAAACCAGGGTAAATCATGGGCAAATCATGAACCGCTCCAGTGTCTTTGCCGGGCGCGTTACGGTGTCCGAGTGTAAACAGCTTCAACGTCTTGTTTAACATCTGTACCAACTTCGGGGTGCATCCCAGTTAGTAAATGGTTTATAACCCACATATACCCTCTGGTTATGTCAAAATAGCTATTGAAAATGGCCCAGTCGAAATAGTGGTGATGTACCCATTGTTCAAATGGTGGATCTTTCCATCGTTTTTTGTATGTTTACCTGGTCGGGTAACCCATATCTAGCCTGGCTATGACTGGTGATATCACCGACAAATCTCGGTACCAAGGCACGTCGTTGCAACCATCGTGGCTCAATCAGTTCCACCCGTTGCAAGACTTTGCTTAGGGGACGGAGGTCGCTGCCTAAGGTGGAAAGGGGAATCGGAGAAAAGAAAAGACCTGAAAATATGGAGTCCTGTCCAATATACATTTATGTATATATACTATATACTATATACATGTATGTGTTATCTGTACATGTGTATATATATATATATATACATATATATATATATATGTACGTGTATATATATATATATACATCTACAAGTATATCTATGTGCATACATTTGCTACCACCTCCTCAAAACCCCAGGTAAGCATCCTTTTCTGAGAACCCATGTGGTTTGCTTATGAAAATATTCACACATCCTCATGCTCTGGATGCCAGCGTACACCAAGGATGGTCAAAATGATGATTGGATCCTGAAATGGATGGGTGGTGGATAACATCGCTTGATGTGTATTACATGTATTGATGTGTATATACATTATCGACATGTTTATGTGGATGTATATATATATACATGTACACCTGTGCATCTATCGGTCTGTCTATTTATGTGTTTATGTATTTATATATATATATATATCTTTGCATCTATGCATCTATGCATCTATCCATCTATCTATCTATCTATCTATCTAGCTTTCCATTTGTCTACCACACACACACACATATATATATATATATAAGGTGTTAGTCAGGTCGGTTGGTCCAAAAAATGTCCAGAACACACCCATTTTGGCATCTCCACACGGTTTGGACTCAGGCCCCTTACCATCAGCACGTGCAGCTGATCAGATTATCGATGGTCAAAGTATCTTTTATAAAGATTATGATTGGTATATTAATATATATATGTGTGTTTATCATTATAATCCCCATTATCATAATGACATTATGATTGTTTAATATTATGATTGTTTAATATTATGATTCTTTAATATTATGTATGACATTAGTTCTACCATTATCATGATCATAATCCCCATGGTGAGGTCTATATGAAGTTTTTTTAGTGACTGTAGCCTCTGGTCATGGCAATTGACGAAAAAAATCCCTTATTGATAGCTGATTTCAATGATTTCCCAATTCAAAGCCCCAATGATTTCGATGATCTCCCAGCCAACCATGTTTCATGATGGGAGGCGGGAGGGTTGATAGCAGAAAAAACGCCGATTAATTTGGCCCCAAAATTCTCGTGGGGTAACACGACTTTGGGCAGAAAAAACGAAAAAAGTTCTACTGCAAGTGAGCTATACTTGATGGTTCACCCCAATCGTCAGTGGATTACAACCGAACATTACCCCTACACTGACTTGACGTGGAGCCGTCCAATTCCTGCTCTTTATCGCTACCTTTGGGGTGCCCAAAAGAAAGATTTTTAGCCACCAAACCTGGGGCAAAATGATCATGTACCCTCTGGTTATGTCAAATAGCTATTGAAAATGGCCCAGTCGAAATAGTTGATTTACCATGATTTAAATATATTTAAATGGTGATTTTCCATAGCTATGTGAAATTACCAGAGGCTATTCCGGTGGATTTAGAGGTTTCCCATATCCGCCGGGCAGCAAAGGCCCACATGGAACGCCACACCACCGTCTTCCCGAAAGAGTTCCTGAGTTCGTCTCGTAGCGCTGAGGGTAGCTCTCCGTTTTTTCACCGTCAAATAGGCCTTTAAATGGCAGTGTGTCAAAACCCTATCCCCCTGGTAAACATCAAAATAGCTGGGATTTATGGATGTTCATCCCACTAAAAATGGTATTTTCATAGGTATTGATCCATAGCCAAATAGGCATCGTGTGGAGTTTCATGGTGATCTTCCCGATTTCTCTGTCTCCATCCCCATGTCTTGGTCTTGCCCAACAGCAGCCCACTCAACAGCTCGAAAAAGGTGACTTTGATAGAAGAATTTAGCAATGGACCAAACATGGAGCGAGCGGGGGCCAACTCATAATACCCAAAATGTCTGCACCGGCCACAAAGGCCACCTAGGCCGCAAGCAGAATTTTTGTTGTACCCCAAGACCTGCCACAGGATTCGTGATGCAGTTTCTTCACCCCAAACTGCGAACATCAGAAAAGCACAGCCCAAGGTACCGCAAGGAGAGAGCCACTCTCAACTTGTCGTCTGAGCAAGGCATCAAAAATACCTCACTGCTAGGCCGCTAGGCTGGTCCTTCAGAGATCCTGAGCGATCCTAGGAATCTCTGCCCTCATGGGCCAATGTTTTCCACTGAGAAGCTACCATATCGAACACCAGTGGTTTCGATTCAAATTTTAATCCCATTATATCCCAATCAATCATTGTGGGGAATGTTCCAAATTCTCCTCCAAAGCTCTGCATAAACCCGATGATTTTCTAGAAAATCTCAAAAAAAAAACGAAAAGCCGGAAGTTCTCCGCTTCCATCAACAACCCGTGGGGCAGTTTCAATCCAGCGGCACAGCATCTGCGCCACACAGAGCAGACGCTCGGAGTCCATGCTCCGCTCCGCACGTTCCAGGCTTTGCCAACAGAAGGCGTAGAGCGAAGCAAGGTCCAACGTCGCCTTCCTGGGACACTCGGATCCAACGAATTTACGTGTATTTATGTGTGTATATATATATAATGGACATATTATATATAATAGAGGAGTGTAATAGATATGTATATATTTCATGTCATGTACATGTATATCTGTATGATATATGTACAGTATATGATATATGTGTATATGTGTGTATATACATAATAGATTTATGATTTTTTGATGGGAGAAAATTGGATGCGGCTGGATGCCAAATGTTTCCTTTACGGATGCGATTTTTGGCTGGTGGTGGAATCATGAAAACATATGAAAACCATTAAACCATCCATTTTTCATATATCTTATGATATGTTCTTATCTAAACCATCCATTTTTGGGCTGACAGTTCACAAAAATCTTCTTATTCTCCAAATCATGGGGAGAATGGTGTGAAAATTGCCATGGCTAGAGTTTGGCTGGAAATCGCAGGAAATGGTCACGGAACAAGTGTTTTTCATCTGCCAGCCCGATATTGTCCCTGCAAGTTAGAATCCGAGTGATTGTCATACTCCCTTTTGACCGACGTTGAATGGCTGTTCATTCCTACGGCTACACATCACCTTTTCTTCCTAGGCATGTTTTGACGTAACCTTTTGCGCTCAACCACTGTGAAACTTCATCTTCTGGAAGTGGAAGATCCCAGGAAATATCGGTACTAACCATTACTAGCCATCATGCACCAACTATTGGTATAATCCACGTATATATATATATATATATATACATATATAGGATATTAGCAGTCATAAATGGATATAAGTGGCCTATTATCCAGTTGTGGATGGATCAAAATTTATGAAATACCAAGTTTTGGGAACAGCTTATAACAGTTTTCACACCCCATAGTTTTTAGCATGGAAAACTGCTGTAAAAACTAGATGAAACTAGGAGATTCCAGGGCTTTGGCACGTATGCCCTGCCCAGGATCATCCCCTGCCGTTGCACTTCGTGCGCACTGCCACCATCGGCGAGCTCGCTCTCCCAGAGACCTCACAATCGGCGGACTCGGCGAAACATGACAAGCCATAGCATTTTTGGCCAAGAAATGGGAAGATTTCAGAGAAAATTCTCTATACTGGTGGTTTCAACCCCTCTGAAAAATGGGAAGATTTTCTGCCACAATTTCCCGGTTCTAGAATTTTTTTGCAATTTTCACCTGGTTTCACCCCTTCCATGGCCACAACAAAACGGGTTGGTAGTTCTGGATGCTCATCCCCATTTGGAAACAGAGTTTGATCAATCCTCATCTCATTGGATTTGCAGAGAAATTGCGGTTGAAAATTGCGAAAATTGCGGAGAAATTCCTCATATTGCACTAATTGATATGTTGATCATTATATTTCTGTCAATAATGAATATTGTTCAACCCAGAAAAACAAAAATGTTGTCCCAATATTTCGCTGCCTCCTCATGACCCCGAAAGAGCCTCCTCCAGGACGGGGGACTGGTAGGGTGTCCAGCATTACCTTGGAAAAAATCAAGAGATTTTTGGAGATCCCATAGTGAACTCATGGTTTATCATGGCACCAACCAATTTTTGTTGTTGATTTCTTGGTGTGTTTCAACGCAATCCGTGCCATATCAGCCCTGGCGATTTTGTAAACCAATTGGCATCTAAGACCGACAAAAAATGTAGATACGTTCTCTCCATTACAGTATCTACAACATAGACTACACTAGATAAATTGTATACCCTGCACTATAATATTTTTTACAAAACTTGACTACATCCGTTCCCGGGAAAATGATATAAATACTCAAATAGTCAACCCTCATAAGTTCTACCCAGCATACCCAGGGCATAATGGGACGATCCAATAGGTTTTCCCGTTCTACCCAGCAATACTCCGTAAAAACCCAGGTTGCCGAGGAGATGAAGGCAATGGTCTCCATCTCCTGACCCGACACGTTGCTATGAGCGTATGTTTACATAGATGTGGAAAATCACCATGTTGAATAGGTAAATCATCCGATGTTTTAAAAATATGGTTGCACCTCGGGGTAAACATACAGAAACATGTGGAAAAACGATGGTTTCCCCAGGAAAAAGGATCTAGAAAAATTATGAGAGGCGGGGGTCTTGAAAATAAAGAGCGCGGCTTTTCAGAGGATCAAACAATGGTTGCAAGCATCTTCACAAAGCCATGCAGACTAAAGACGGCATATACGGCTACATACATAGATATGTTGATATATAGAATAAATGTGTATATATATATATATATATCGTTTTTTCATTGTCTTGCTCCTGCATTATGCACACAACAATAGTTGGTGGAAAAGATATCCTTGGGTGTTTGCTGGCAATACCTCAATCCGCGAAATTGGGCAGTCGGGCAAACCGCGTCTGAAAATATTCTAATGGGAAGATACGATGATGCATCTGCTGCTGTATGCGAAAAGCTCAACCTTTTTCTTGCTTTGCAGTGGGAAATTCATGTGTCTCAGGTCCAGGGCGCGTCATGGATCCGCGAGGTGTCTGTGCCATACGGAGATATACAGATGGCCGGCACTTGCAAATTCGCTTGCTTCGGATCAGAGACCCTGGTGGTTTTTCAAGCTCCTCAGAAGAAAAGAAATTTGAAACATCTTCAAAGATCCATTGAGCTGCCGGATCCGCCCTCAAGTTCTGAAAAAGAGGAGCTTGGGACCTCGTCGCTACGACCGTCCGCTTGTTCGTCGGGCGGCAGTGACTGCAGGTAGGAAATTTCTGCAACTCCGTCTTTTCTGCAAGGCCGCCAGAGAAACAAGCTGTCCAAGGAGGAGGAAGGGAAACAACTATCAACTAGTATGTTCAAAATAACATAAAGGAACTGTGTCATGCAGTTGCAAGAAAGTTCCCCCCCACCTTGGGCGTGAAGGTCATTCGGCAGCCTTCGGCATGTCGGTGGATGAGGGCGGAACGAGTCTTCGTCCCAGAGGGGACGTCACGCTCCTTCGGCACATCTTCGGTGGACCATGGAGGTCGCGGTTGAAGCCTGGGAGTGCCAGGGCGACTTGCTGCCGAAAGGTGTTCAATAGCCCGCCGTGGCGCAGTGCTTGCCTGGAAGCTTCTGCCAGACCTTCACCATCAGCGGGATCTGCAAGGTTTCTGTGCCCAGGTCTGCTCCGCTCAGCAAAGTGAAGGTGGCACGAATGCCGGGCGGATCTGCTGTGAGCGCACAGCGAACGATCACTAGCGAACATCGGGGCGCCGGCTCTTTCACCACAATGAGCTTTGTCCCAGGCGCATCTTCCCAGATTTCAAACCACCTTTCTCCGAAGCGCATCTCTGCCGTGAAGCATCGAATGTTTCGCCAATTTGTTTCCAGGTATTCTTCCCATGCTTCATGACCTTTTGTGCCAGGCCGTTGGAGGGATGTCTTTCAGGACTTAAATTCGCCACGGACAAAGCATGGCCCAGGTGCCCCCCATGATGGCAAAGTCGGCGATTTCGTAACGCCGAGGATACAAATCCATGGCTGGCCAGGCGGCTACAATGCCGCTGTTGGAAAGCTGCCTTTGTGAGAGAGGCGCGATGATCTTGAAAGAAAAAGAGCGGCTTTCGAAGAGATCAAAAAGTAGTTGCAGACATTTTCAAACATCTACGCCAAAAAAAGAAACGGCATGCACATATGTGTATATATATACTATACTATAGAATGGAGAAAAACAGATTAAATAAAACAGAATTAGAATAGAATTGAATAGAACGGAAAAGAATAGAATAGAATGGAATGGAATAGAATAGCAAAGCACAGAGTGGGACAGAATAGAATGAATACAATAAAACACACATGTTACAATTTTGAACTGAACGTAGTTCAATTGAATATATATACTATGACATCAAACAAAATTGTTTGTGATATGAAAACAATATTTTTGTGTAATAGAATACAACGTGACTATGGTATATTATATATACGATATAGCGCAGTACCCCACGATATAAAAAAATAGTGTAGTATCAAAAAATACAGATCAGTAGAATATGATTGAATATAATTTGATAGAATATGATAGAATATAGTATGAGGCAGTACAATATAGTGCAGTGTAGTAGTTTTGGTATAGCCTAGCATGACACAGTACAGTGTATGATATACACCGCAACAAAATACCTGATATAGAAGTACAAGATATAATTGGAAAAAAGTAATACATAGTATGTTCAAATAATTAAACCAGTGAATAAAACATAATGTCACACTATTTCATGTCAAATCATATAATATCACCATGTATTATATCTACAAAGCATATATGTGTGAATGCATGCATTTTATGTGTATACCGTATACATATTATGTGTATATAATGTATGTCTGTATATGTGCACAGCGTGTATGTATGTGTATATACATACCAAAATGGGATTACGAGCATTTTGATCATACCGACGGCGCCGGAATGTCCCATTTGAGCTGATAGAGGTGGGTCATTGGGAGGTGTCAATACCTTGAAGAAAACTATCCAGTGAAGCAGCTGGAAATCCACCATTGATCGATGATGAAAACCCGGCCATCCGCCATTTGGCCATCCGCCATTTAAAAAACCGGAATTTCCCATTTGATGACACCGGAGGGTACGAGTTGAAGAGATCTTCAATGAGAAAATGACCCCTTTCTCCATGGAAGATGAAAAATTAACATGACGACCCTGCCAGATAGGGCTTCGAAGATACGTTTGTGCCCACGAAAAATGATGATTTTCAGGGTCGAACTGTTAATTATCCAGAGGGTATCATTTACATGTTATGTAGTTGCATAAAATATGTTTATACATACATACATACATATGACGAAACCACATGCCCATCCAAGGGCAAACGGTCGGGCACCTTTTATGCTCCTGAGCCAAGGGTCCCTGGCAATCGACCAACCTGTCAGGCTGTGCACTCATGGCATTGCCCCAAATTGACACTGGTTATAATCTTCCAAAGTTAAAAGTTCGAAGATGTCCATCTCTTTCTCCAGTAACCTTTGGGTACACATATTTGTTTCTCATCCATCCATCAGCAAGCGGGGGCGATCAGTGCCGGAGATAAATGGTGAGGAGCTGCCAGCAGAAGCATATCCCTTGCTGGTGACTCGCTCATGTTCCACCAGATATTCGGCAAGATCTTTCAATAGTCCCGTGGCAGTCTTGACACGACGAGTGCACCACAGCTTGTATTGCAAGCACTCTGGACTCTGACTGTTGGCCAAGTGCAAATAGCTCATATTCTTGCCTTCGTACTTGCCGAACTGGATTCGTGTGCGACCCCAAGTGGCGAAGTCTGGGACGCCCTCAGGAAGAACTTTAACATCGATGCCTCTTACCATCTCATGCTGGACCTCAAAGAAATTCTCAGTCTTGCCCTTTCGGTTGACCAGGCTGGTACCCATGTTGCCCGGCAGGAAAGGTTGTTGAAGATCAGCGAGCTCTTCTGTGGCTCTGCGCTTTGATGCATCAGTCATCCCTTCGGAGGATCCGGAAATCAAAGTAAACTCAGAGCTTGGAGAGCCCCCATGCATGGTCATGGTCATTTGATCCCACATGCCACATTCCTTTGCTTTGGCGATCATCTCTTGAAGAGCAGCGGTATCACTCTGGGTCCAGGACATGCTATGAAAAGGAAAAACACAAGGAGGCTCTACTTCGGCGTGGGCACAAACCTTGAGGATCACCCGTGGGTGACGTGCAACAGCTCTCCCACTGTATTGATAAAAGGTTGGTTGTCGAAGAACCAGGGCTGTGAAAATTGCAGTAAAAGCATTCTCCCAAGACATGCTTGTACGGCTTACGAAAACTGACTCCTCATAGAGTAAACGGTGATATCATATCTGACACTGTGCACATGCTGTCAGCTTTCAAAATCACTTTTCCAAAAATGTGAAAGGTTTGCTCTTGCAAAAACTGATGCTTGGCTACAACAACAGTTCACTTCGAAGGATTGGCCGTAAAGGACAGGACACATGTTTAATGCAGGCGACTGAGTGGCATCTGGATTGCTTGCAATCGGACCCTACCTATTTCTTTCACAGTCATGCACAAACAACCCACCAAGATCCTTAACATTATGCCAAAACTTTCGGTGACTGTAGACAAAAGCTCAAAACTTTGTCTCAGGGACTCTTGATTCACGAGTATTGGTGTGCTCCGATTGTCGCGCTTTTCTCAGTTCTCTCTCTGCTGCCTGGCGAGCAAGCACTGCTGTCTCTGGGGCGATTTGATAGACCCCACTGCGAACACAACTTCTCAGCAGATCGGCTGGGTCCAACTTATCCTTGGTGAGTCCATCTGCCAACATGCGATCAGTGGGTAGCCATCGAATGCTGCCTTGCAGTGTACTCAGTGATTCCCTAATTATGACCACATCGATGCTGGTGCGTCTATCATCAATTGCAGTGGGTGAAGAGGGGCTCACCAAATGGTCATACAAAGACTTGCAATCGGTGGCCAGTAGTGGTCGTCGACGTGACAACACCGATCTGACCTCTCGCAGAGGCGTTGGTCCATCCAAAGCCTCACTCACCAGAAGGGACAGCCATTCTACTGTGCCGCTTGCTACACTCATGGCCTGGCTTTCACCTGCCAGAGTAGAACTGACAGCTCGAGCTAAGCGGTAGCTCTTCCACACTACTGGAACCCAAGGTGCTTCTTTGCCATGGTGAAGGTCGGAATTCGTGAACGCGATCACATATCCTGCTTGAGTGTGAGTTCCTACATTGGCCCAAGCAGCAGCATCACTATGACAACATATTGTTAGCTTGTCTGGAGCTATGCTTGGAAACACAATGCTAAGCTGTTTGTGTTGCTTGGCTCTACGAACTGCGTTGTTTGCATCTCTCAGGTTCCTAATGCATGGATTTGGAAACGCTTGCTGACTCAAGCTGGTCTGCACGGACAAGTCTGGTCGGGACTGGGACGCCAACCAATTCAGGCTTCCATTGATTGCTCGGAGAACTTTGATTTGACCGTCGTTTAGGGGCTGTTCATTTGATACTCCTTTGGGAATGTAAGCACTCTTTATTGATTCTGCAAATGTCTGCATGGACATGGAAATGGACTTGGTGTTGGGATCCTGTTGGTAAAAGGCACCGCAGAAATCTCCTGACCCTACTCTCCACTTTCGATACGGAAATCTGGCTTTCAATTGGGTGACCGTGTTCTCAAACAACGAACCCTGTCCAGCTATGGCTGTATCATCCACATGTACACCCATGATTCCTACCAGTGATCCCTCTGGCGACCTCAGGTAGTAAAGACAGGAGTCATACTTAGAACGTGTCCAACCCAAACCCGTGACAGTAGTGTCGAAAGTGCGGTACCACATGACCGGGGCATCGTTCTGTCCATAGACATTGCCGAGCACCTCAATGACCGCATCCTGTGGAATTCCAGGCACACCGCCAGCTGGTTGCTTTGCATACAGTGGCCGGAAACGGCTTTCCAGTTTTCCAGACTCCAAGAAGGCACCTTTGATGTCACCTAATTGCATGGTCCATTTATGACTAGCTATCATTTGCATGAGAGTATTTCGTCCCATCTGACTCAAGGTGGGTGACTGGAGAAGTCCATCCTAAATCTTCTTGTCCAAGTCTGGATCTAGGTGACCCTGTAAACACCAGCGAGATTTGACACGATAAGTGGACGGATCATTGGGATCGACCTGTCCATTCTCCTGAGCTGGTTTTCGAGTGATCACATACCGGCTACCGATGAAACGATCTGGATGTTTCTTACGGATTCTCTCAGCATCTTTGCCAAAATGAAAACAGATGGCTCCTTTCTCTATCAAGGTGTCCCATTCAACTCGTTTAGAGTCGTCCACTGCTTCTTGAAGCACTGGGGCATTGCCGGTTGGAAAAAGCTCTTTTGACATTTTCTTGGCAAGGTAATTTGCTATGAGAATCTCTACATCCGGAGTTTTCTCCCACAGGTCTACCAACTCATTGACTTGCTCCACGGACAAGGTTTCATGCACGCGACCTGTCTCAGCAGCACCTGTGTCGGATGACATGGCTGTTGATTGTTCAACAGCTGTAGGTGATGCGGTGCGCAGTCTACTGGCTGCAGGTTCGGCTGAGGCACTGTCAGGACTAGATTCTAAACCCCTCTTATTGCTCTCGGACAAAGCGGCTACATTCTCGTTGATAAGATGGGGAATGACCTCTCTCATGACCTCAACAAAATCCTCTTGTCGCATTGCAGGAGGACGGAACATGGTTGCTTCACCCGCCTTCCCTCGAACCCGCCTACGAATAGGACCATACTGACTGCTGGCAGATTCTGCTGGCATGCTGTCTCCGGGAGGTGCATCACTCATAGGTTGAATTTCTTCCTGCTCAAGGTCCTGTGTTACACCTGATGGCAAGCCTGATGGCATTTCTTCGGGTGAAGCAGGACTCTTATCTATTACCTCCGAACCGGATGCATCTCCCGGTGATGACGTGTGCTGTACACTGGGCGCTGGAGGCATTGAGTCACGTGCA